AATAAACAATAATTATTCTTTAGCGTCAGTATACTGTGATCATTTCAAATGGATACGCACATCGACTGTCCAAGTAACATATAAGGAATAAGTCTTAAGGAAACACGTATATTGTTGAAGGATATGGCATTGTTTCAAGGAGTCATCATGGACATCGGCGCTTACATAGGTAGCGATCGTTATAGATAATGATTTACATTTGCTTGTTCTGATCCATAGTGTTGATTCCACTGCTGTCGTTAGCACGCAAGAACAAAGAAACCATTAACTGTTCCCCGGATGTTCCCTTGTGTGGGATACCAGGAATTACCTTTTAGAGGAGTTTTATATTAATGGTCTCTTGTTTCTTAAAGGTCACATTCATCAGTGTTTGTTGGTCTTCCTCCTACTGTGGGGTGCTATTTGTAGTTCTTAATGGCTAGTTACCTAGGTTGTTTGGACTGAATCTAATCACTGTTGCGAGGTACGGCGAGGCTGGATAATGGTTTTTATACAGACATCCCGCTGAGATAATAACCAATTATATAGGTGAAGTCTCTTGAAAAAAATCATCATAAACGTATAAATATACATTCACAGTGAGACACTGTCAGTGATTATAAAAGTACCAATGGACGACGTTTCTTTCTTGGAGTCATCACTATGTGTAATGGTTCAATGAGTTAATTTTGTCAGCAGAATTTACAACGATAGAGTCGTGTTATGGTCTGTGACGTAATGTCTAATAGGTTTACAAAGAAATGCCTCTACTTCAGAAGATGTAGGAATAGACTGGGTATGGTTGACAAAGAAATGCAGAAATATTGATATGGACGCGTTATTATTGTTTTGATTGGGTCACAATACATACCTCCTAGGTAATGATCAAGACCAAACAGTGTGTCAAATACGATAATCGCTATACCTCAAATAGGGCAAATCCCCCCGAGGGAGTGATGGCACAGTATTATCAGCCAATCATCTCAGCGGGTATAATTACATGCAGAAATTCTTTCCTTATGCGTAGCCTGTCACAATGATACGGGGGGTGACTTTGTAGGTTTTAGGAACCAATGAAAATGGAGGTCAATACAGTTCTTAGATGTTTATATTGTCCAATGTAATTATTGGAGTGCAGGGAAAGGGTGAGTGAGGTTAGCTGCAAAATTCCAGCTATATGGCGGCGGTCGGTAAATAATCGAGTCTGGACCAGACAATCCAGTGATCAACAGCATGAGCCTTGATATGCGCAATTGGGGAAAAGGTGAGAGTACTATGCCTCTTACTGTATGTGAGGTACCAAATGAAGCATTTATTTATTTGTATGAGCGTATTCTATTTCAGTTTTAAATTCAAAGCTCCCAGTGTACATACATACATACATACATACATACATACATACATACATACACACACACACACACACACACACACACACACACACACACACACACACACACATACATACATACATACATACATACATACATACATACATACATACATACATACATACATACATTTGTATAGCGCCGAGTTCCACCTCAGCTGCTCAAAGGCGTTTTGTTTTCCCTCGATCACTGGATATCAATTTCAACGGCACGTCGTATTATCAATCTCAACTCCCTTGTTGTACCCGCAACTAGGTGTTAGCACGTATTCATGTGGTCACCATCTGGACATATACCAACGGATTCGTGGGTTCTTTTCATTGCACAGGGTTGTGTACTGTACACTAGGGTTTGTGACAACACTGAAAGAGTCTGCACATATAGTTGACTCCAAGGTTTTTACACCCAGTCTCAGGTGGGCTCGATCCCATCACCTCAAGCTCACTGGATCACTAGCCTGGCGGTTTAGCCAGTTCGCCCACCACATACATACACTGCTTTTACTGTTCCCAAATGCAAACGAAATTTTATTAAATGTATGCGTCTATTATTGTATGCATGCTTGTGTGTCTGTCTCTGTCTGTGGGCGGGTCCCATTCCAATCAGCAATTTTGCCTCTAAGACCCTTGGCTCGAAGTCCTTTGTGGCACTGCGTAAACACGCGGACTATCCTGATGATTATCAATCTTATATTATCGTACCATAGCCAATGTAGTCTGTCATGTACCACTTGTAATGTTGCAGCAGTACCCGTTACGTTTGAGGCAACAGGTAATGTTTTTCAAAATCATAAGTAGGATTGATTAGATCAATGTGTTCTATGTTGTTTTTGTAAAATTCACGAAACAAAAAAATATTGCAGATGCAAACACACCAAGATCCAGTCGGTTCAAAGTATGAATAAATGTTATGTATATTTACTGTTAAAATGTTTCAAAAATATATTTAATGAAAATGTCCAAGGAAATCATCGACAAATTTACGAAAAGAAGCCAACATGTATGCATAAGTGCATCTATTAAATGTTTGATTTATTTCTAAATCTTTATGCTAGTTTCTGTAAATAATTTCAAACGTTTTACTTCAACGATATGTATAGCATACAATATACAGCTTATGCTCCGCAGAAAAGCAGCAGCTTTTACAGCAGATAAATTACATTTATCTCATTGGAATTCAGAGCTCATGTTTGTTACTTCATCATGGTTTTGTTATCCACCTCATGTGAGAAATCAATATCAATATTCTATTCCTGTTGTCAAGATGAAATAGATGAATTGCTCCTGGAGAAACGTGATGAGAATTAATGTTTTTGAAAATGTACAAGTCAAGACCTACCTTACATTACGGCATTAGATTGTGTTCATTGGTGAGTTCAGGCATGGATTTCAAGACATCTGCATCATGTATCAGCTCGATAAGTAATATGGTTGGTTCCGGATCAAAAGAAACGAAAAAACTTCTCAAATGTTTTATTGCCAGATAGTATCCATTTACGCCAGCCACTGTAGGAACAACAAAAGAGAGGCATGGAAGCATTATTAAAGTTCTTTATCAGGTTCTTTAGTACAAAACATTTGCGTGGGAATTATAGAAAAGTTCAGCTACTGAAATTTCATTCATCAAACGTGAATGTTAGATGGGTCAGTTGCCAATCAACACTGCTGTCGTGTCGACACATTTGAATACTGAACATACACACTGTTGTGGGTGTAGTTAGTTTGTGTTAATGTATACCAGCTGTTTACGGTGAATTTCACTCGTGGTTTTACGTGAGAAAACAACTGTAGGGGTTTTAATCTATCCCTTAACTTTTCAACATCAGGAATGGGTACTCCTTATTTATTTACAATATAGGAGTACTGGGAAAATATTTAGAGTACATTTAGAGTACTGAATGGAATTTAATGACTGACTACGACAAGACCAATGAGTGGTATTGGTAAACAGTTCGTTAATTATTCGTACAGCAGTTTGACTACTTGACCGTTTACAAATCGTCGAGGCACAGCCTTGTTTCTGAAAGAAACTTGCAATTTGTATCTGTGCCGCCATGTTTACATACACCGTGCGCAATTTTGACCAATCAAATTTAACCGAGATGATTCGCTGCGGTACGCGGTTTCCTTAGCAACCGGAATTTCCAAAACACGACAAGGGAAACACTTTTGTGTCGCTACCACGTAAATTCAAATATGGGACACTGCTTGAAATCAGATTGATATGTTTTAGATAAATACGTCTGTAGATGATTACAAGACCGTACACCATTGCTGTGGTGCGTATCTGAGTATGTTCTACATTAATTTCTAACGTATCTTGCATATTTTATATCCGTACATACGCCGATACGGCCCTTATCTGGACCCTGGCTTACGTAAGGATACCTACAACGTAGGCATCCAAGTTGGAAACAGCTGTGATCCCATCCATGCTGATGTATCTCTTATGCATGTATGTATAAGAACATCTCCTGTGGTTGAACGATAAGAAATATAGCTTCATAGTATATTTATGACCTCACATCCTTCAATGATATTTGAATACTCGTTCCCATCCACTGATGTCACCACCAGTGTATGATGCAACTCCCAGTTTTAACGTGTTCGAATCCCGGCGGAGACACCAAAATTTGTGACCTGGGTCTCATACTGTGTTGTGTCCCTGGGCAAGGCACTTCGTCCACATTGCACTCAGTCCACCCAGCTGTTCAAAATGAGTACCTGAGAAGCGGTATACGGACCTATACGGTCGCGCGAAGAGCTTAGTAGCAGCTTTGAAAGTACAATTCCGTCAGGGTAATAATGTAACGCCAGAGAAACAGCGTCGTGTTGGATTCTAGGCGCAAATATTAGCATTATTATTATTATTATATTCTGACCTTTTCACGACCTTTTATACAGTATTTTATATCGTGCGACTCCTTTAGCGGAGTCTTGTTATGGATGTGTGAAGGGTTGTGTCGCTTTTATTTTAATAGAATTATTTTAATCATAAAACAGAGCAGATAGTTGTGCCTCAATCATTCAGTACTCTGGAACTCAAAACAACGGTCATGACGCAATGGTTTTAAGGTCGGATCACGAAGTTACATACTTCACAAGAATTTGTCATGTCAAAGCAGGACTGAAAAGGCTGGATCTTTTTTTTTATAATTTTTTATTTTTTATTCTCCATACATCCAGGTCATACAGTTCATTACATAATGGGTTGGTATAAACACGATTCGCAAATATATACAAAGTCGATTTACAGGCAAATGTGCATTCAGGTGGAAATGAATAGGTACTTGAAAATATAATAGCAGTACATTATATATAGCGTGACAGATTGTGACATAGTGACCAAAATTTTGTGAAGCTGTCATATTTGCAATTTGAATAGGCATTAAAACGTTCAGCATAATATGTTGCCTTTACCAGGCTGGATTTGGTCTGGATTAGTTCATCTATTAGACATACATGGCAGTTGACAAGTCAGCTATTATTCTGCTGCAACAAGTTCTTCCGGCTGATGTAGTAAACGCTACACTGAAAATAAAAAAGGGAACAGAGCGTGATTTCAATTTCGGTTGTGTGCATGTCAATTCCTAGTTTAAAACATATGTTGATATCAAGCTTTCTGTTTCAGTATCACGGCCACAGCAGCATCCATTGGAGCCGCTGGTGTCCCTCAGGCTGGCTTGGTTACCATGGTGATTGTGTTATCAGCGGTGGGACTCCCTGTCAACGATATCACTCTCATTCTGGTCGTTGACTGGTTCTTGTGAGTAACTAGAATTGGGACTGAACGTATTCATTTTCTAGGTCAAATAATGCCAAAGTAGGAGGTTTTGACATTTTCACTCGACATTTCACTTCCGCGCAGCTCAAAAAGGCTATAACGTCACGATGATATACGATGATACCATGATCTTCTGAATGAATAGCGGCGTTGGGGTGGCTAGTGGTTAAAGTGTTCGCTCGTCACGCCATAGCCCAGGGTTCGATTCCCACATGGCTACAATGTGTAATTATGTATATTTACTGTTAAATTTTTTCAAAAATCAATTTTATGAAAAGGTCCAAGGATTTCATCGACAAATTTACCAAAAGCTGATGTAGCTTGAATTTTGATCAAAGCGGCGTAAAACCATACTCACTCACTAACTCAGAATTAAGTTATAGGCATACTGATTACAGGGACATTTGGACGGTGAATGAATCATTGTCTTACCTTGTACAGAAGTAAGACGTGTTGTGGCGGGTAATTGACAGTAAAGCATAAAGTTAAATTACAAACTGAAATACATTCATGAATGATTAATTCTTTACTTGTCGCTTTTGTGTCTTCAGGAAGGCCTTGAAAGAGACAAAAATATATGTTTGTGTTAATCTTACAGGGACCGGTTTCGAACTATGATCAACGTCATGGGGGACAGTCTTGGTGCGGGCCTGGTCTACCATCTATCCAAAGACGAGTTACCTCCCTTAGAGCATGAGATGTTCGACACCAACCCCCGAGAAGGTTCCCAACGGCCATGAGGGCAACGCCATGACTGCTGTGTAAAGGAAGTGACGTCACGCACCGCATGCGTATAAACAATATGCAATGTCTCCAACTGCCATGTTGACCTTCTGTCAAAACGAAAGCAGCGAAAAACGAAAGATGGTTGATGTGCGCATGTGTTCACACATATTGCTTATTCGCGGTGCCGGAAGTCAGAAAGAAGTGCCCCTCGAAGGATGAAGATATTAAATGATAGGTAACGGATGAATTGTTGCCGGAACCCCTGTCTTGGAGGGACGTAGAAGAGAAAGCCAACTAGTTTTCTATGCATATAGACAAGGCTAGTTTAGGGTCAGTCCAGGTTTTGATAACAGTCTGTCCTTTCCCGCGAAGGTTATACTCCGAGTACTCTCTTTGTCTCGAAATCGGGTAAATGGATACATCGAGTAATGGAAGTTGTGTTGAGGCATAATACCACGAGGTCATCTCGAGGTTTGCAGTTATTTCGAATGTGTGTTCGAGACAACGAGAGTCAACCACGCAAAGAGGGGTCTTAACAATGGAATTACGGGGCACCTCAGGGAATTTACACGCTTAACTCAAAGCTGCATTTTGCAAGTATACTGAAAACCATTTGTATAAACCGCCACTGGCATCGAGTAATGGAGGCTTTCCGGAGGTATTGTTATGATTTATTGATCATTCGTAATATCATGTAATAATTACAACTTTCACAATCTGGTTGAGAAACGATTCCAAACCTGTATAAGCCGTTTCTGTCAAATTGTATTGATATGGTTTGGCGGTGATAAAATATGAATTTTGTTCATCTACCGTCGAATCCTCGTTTGTGTCAGTCAAAACTGAATACAATAAGCATGCTTTTAGATGCAAACCCTTTCGCGTTCATTCGTCAAAGAAAACGGGGCTACGAAATCCATCTGAAGAATGTTTTGTTAATCAAGACGAACCGAAAGCTGATTTTGAAAAACGGCAAACATGGTATGCCAAACGGTCGAGGTTGGGAGAAATGGTAAATACGGATGTACTCAATACATTCAATACGGTTGTACTCAATAATAGATATGGTTGTGACGTCATACACAACGACGTAGATGCCACGGAACATATTTCTATGATATTTTTATCTGCTTTCAATGGAAGTTTTCATGGTTGATATTTTAGATATATGAATTTTACTATCATTTCTTCGACATATATATATGCGTATATGTAGTTGTAAAATCATACTTGCAAAGTATACCAATTATATTTTCCCCTGATATTTTTTGAAGATTGAAAATCTTCCATTGGCAAAAAGGTTGTGAAAATATTATTGGAAGTAGTTACATTATCATCAAAGACCATTTAATCACCCCATAGCTTTGTTTCCACGATTTGTCTGGAACATTCCTCTACGGCTTTGTTCAAGATGATTTTAGATGAAAACTACAATTTTTTATGTCTTTGGGTCATTGTGTGCACTTTCAAATACAGGAATTACATATTGGCTTCATCAGGTCCCAACAGCCACCTTGTTGACATGACAACACATTTTACATCAAATCAATGTGGACTGACAGAGGTCCATCCGATTGGCAATATGAAAGACACCCTTCCCTTATAAAAATGAAATCCATTGAAAAAAAGTTTACGAAGTGAGAAGCTACCACGTGTAAATATTCCGTGGTTCCGGGGCACGTCGCCATCTATCCTGTTTCCATAATTAATGTCATATACGATCTTTGCTTCAGGATTTCATGGTTTGAAACAGATTTGCGTTCGAGTTAAGTCCATTACTAATCAAACGTACATAACGACGCGATGCCTGCTTATGTTCGGACAAAGAAACGCAAACTGGCTTTTTAAAAAAAAATCTAACTGAAAATATAAAATTGATTCTCGATCCATAGTTTATTAAAAGATTGCTAACGTTTCATTTGAAATATCAAAGGAACACATTGAATCATGTTTCCATAGGTCACGTATTGTTTCTATTTTTTCTCGTTGTGTGTGTTATTACTGAAATCCATTATCAATAACTATTAATACCTGTACATATATTTGTACTCGGAATATTTAGTGGAATTGCCAGCATTCTCTCAAACATTAGAATTTATACGTTTATATGGTGTTTGCCGTTCCATTTGCACTATTGATATTAAACCTTGTTATTTAGAGTTTTTAAGAGTGTTTTATTGAATACGTTATTGAGTTATCACCCATGTTATATTTTAATACGTTGGAGCAATTCAGGATTATCTCCCTCATTATAGAGGGTCCATTTATTGTATATAAGCATTGTTTGTCGTTTTTGTTACGTCATACACTATGTTTGTTGTATGAGGAAATAAATAACCTCTTGGCTGTTACATTTTGAAGTAGCATAAACACAACAACAAAACATTTAATACAAATTACATACATCATATGCATTGTATGGTACATTTCGTCAAACTACTTCAGGACGTTGTCAGGGTGTCGTTCTCAGACCACCCTTGTTTTCACCAAATCTTTCCTCAGAAAAATACTTCCTCAGATGTTCATCACGTGGTGTTCACCATTAATGTCGTGCAAAACTAATTTGGGACTTTGTGTTCGTATGTGAATAAAAACAAAGATCAAACAGACGTGAGCTATATTGTTGAAAAACCAAACCTGAAAATCTGCACTTTTTGTGACAAGAGCATCGCTTATACATACGTGTGATCACGTGATGGCAAATACGATAGGCCGTCTAGTTTGTGTCAATCATCAAAATATCAACAGCTTTTGTCATACGTTAGATTCATTACTTAAAAACGTCAAATACCATGTCGCGTTGCATGTGGCGTTCTTGAGATCTTGATGTGTAAACCAAGTCACAAATTTTATGCTTAGATTAATTATCATCTACAGAACTAACTGCACTAGTTGCTGGTTTATTTCTCTTTTAGATTTTTAGATTGGTGCTAATTAGAATTGATGTTTATTTTTAGATCACAATCTTAATTCCATTTACTGAACAGCAATTAGTTGACAGTTGTATATATATTTTCATATGAATGTTACGTTTATCGCACATTTGTAAGTGTTATTTCAAATCAATTTTGTAATGAGAATGTGACCAAGGGGGTACTAAAAATATCCAGACACTTGAATGACATTGCAAATCATTTAACATCGCAAAAATCAGGAAAATATGAACCTTAAGATGACCGAAACGACTCAATATTAGCCCACTGAATGCTTAGGTTAATGTTTATGATATGCCAGATTCGTATTCACAGTGTGTATTAAACAGTTTTTAGCTTGCGATGAAAGGAACTGTCATGGAACATGTACAGTGAATGGAGCATGTCATTGCAGTGAACAGATATGACAGTATCAGTGGTTTAGCATTTCCCATGGTGTTGTGTCTCCTCCATCCTGTTCTAGATTATGTAGGACTCTGTAGAGTGCATTAAAATATTAAAACGTACGCTGTGTCTCTTGTCATTTTTTATGAACGTTGTAAAACTATTGACATGAATGAAACAGTGAAGACAACAGCTTTAAAACAGGAACCTTATGTTGTGTGGACATCAGATTGGGTGTACATCAGATCACAACAAATTGGGAAGTTTTGCACGGTTTTGTGAAACTGAAGCAATCCATATTTGTGGTGCTGCATCTGTATGGTTTGGATGAATGCCACGACGTTCTCTTGCAAACACAGAAGCAGACATGTTTGATTGTCTCGGTTTTTCTTTGCTGTTTAACACTGCATTCGAGAACATTCCATCTGTCTGACGGCGTCCTGTAAAGTATCGCGAGATCGGCAGCAACGTTCCACACCATCGACGTTTCAAGATACGCCATAAACTTCTTCTCCGACCCTGATAACACGATTCGTTTTGATCGCCCAAAAGGTGCTGGAAACCATTTCTAACCTGGAATCTACATGGAGTACCATCTTATATATAAGATCGGGTGCCAAGAGTAATCAAATTCCTCTTGGTGGAACCTTGACTGATATTAATGTCACTGTCGTACTTGAGTAGAGAAGACAGGACGATGACAGAATGACACTAGGAATGTCACTGTCGTACTTGAGTAGAGAAGACAGGACGATGACAGAATGACACTAGGAATGTCACTGTCGTACTTGAGTAGAGAAGACAGGACGATGACAGAATGACACTAGGAAAAAAAAATGTCACTGTGAGCGTACTTGAGTAGAGAAGACAGGACGATGACAGAATGACACTAGGAATGTCACTGTCGTACTTGAGTAGAGAAGACAGGACGATGAAAGAATGACACTAGGATGCCACATGTGTTCCATTTCGACGACACTTGGGGCGTCCACTAAACTCAAAAGCTGGTTAGTTGTTTTCTGGCGCCGCACTCAGCAATATTCCACCTATATGGCAGTGATCTGTAAATAATCGTATCTGGACCAGGCAACTCAGTGATCAGCAGTATGAACAATGATCTATGCACTCGGGACCACCTGAACTCAACAGAATATGTATTTTTCAAATTCAGGTTTAGTTATTTCTCGGCCATTAAGGACGGACCACAGCCGTGGGTTTATGTTTTTTCTTTCCATTTTTTGTTAACACATCTGTGACCAACAATTTAGTTTTTCTTCAACCGACTCAGGCATGATTTTGTCAAGCATGTTGTGAAACAATTTCTTTCTGTTCGATAAAAATCATTAACTCCCCACGCCAACACCAAATACCAAATAATCGGAACCTTGCCATTATGCATTTTATATCCTACCTGTAAACGACACTAAACACGTCGTCAAATATTTATAATCTTTTTGAATCTGTAGAATATTAATTGCTTTGCATTACTGATTCTCACCGATACATACCAACGCACTCTTGTTGGCCTTGACTCGTTTACCTTGACACTAACACCTGATATGATCTATACATGTGGTTCATTCATTACCACATGCTCATGCTAACGACGAAGACGTACAACAAATTCTGCTTTTTGTCGACGTTTCTTTGTCTGATAATAATGTTTTTGCTTTCATTTAACATTTTCAAAAGGTTATTGCCGCATCATAGTTTCATTATTGTATGCCAATCCTCGAGTCCACATGCCCTGAATGTATGTTTGGATAGATGCATTGTGGTGCGACTCGTTTCAAGGGGCGCGTTACGCACAAGGTGAGGGAACCCATGTGAATTCGATGAAGCACTTGTATGGGATGGAGACATATGCTTGAAATATTGTGCCGAAATAGAAGGCATACGATTCGCATGCCTGTACAGGACTATTGTATAAATGATGGACAGACATATATGTATGCTCATAATACAAAGCGTTCGCTCGTCACGCCGAAGACCCGGGTTCGATTTCCCACATGGGCACAATATGTGAAGCCCATTTCTGGTGTCCCCCGCCATGATATTGCTGGAATATTGCTAAAAACGGCGTAAAGCCATAGTCACTCACTCAGTCATAATACAAATTCAAGGTGAAGACGTCCACCTATTTCAGCACACTTTTAGATAGCACTAATGAAAATGCATGGTAAAGCCATACCGACAGGGGATGTGGTGACAAGGGATACAGTGACTGACGTGAATGTTGATGTGTTTAAAATGTGAGTCTAATTGACTGTCCGCGCGCACGCGCGCGTGTGTGCGTGTGCGCAAGCGCGCGCGTGTGTATGTGCACGAACTGCACAAACGGTTACAAATATATTTGTTCATATACATGTACCTACTGAGACAAAGTAACAGTTTAACATAGGTACCTATTCAGACAGTATATTGACTAACCAACCCTCGTTTCATTCCCTTTTCCCTTATGTCAGGTTTGTTTTTACACGTTTCAATGGTTCTTCGTGCAATCTGTTGTGTCTCAGAGATACATTTTTACTATGCGAGCATAATTCACATTGTGCACACATATCGTAAATTTGTGAAAGACGTAGCCATTTGTGCGTGTCAACCAGGAATGCCCTTTACCATATACACCCTATACGAAGATCATCTCTTGCTGCCACAGGCACAATAGCAGTGTGAACTGTTCAGCTAAATGTTGCATTTCCTCATAGAGAGATTCAGTATATAATGTGGGGACAGGACACTTGGCATGGCTTCTTCTTTGGTATCGTGTGTTCCTCGATGTGTTGCCTTCACGTGAATCAGAATTGTAGCTCTGATGTGCAGGAATAGGCTTCGGGCAGATTGTTGACCTGATACTGCTTCCATCTACTAATTTGCAACGTCACATAGGAACATAAAAGACAATTCAAATTTGCAAATGTGTTTCATATGTTTCAACCTGTAATTCGATCCGTGAAGATCCGGGTTAGAATTGGTTGACACACGTTATCGTATCACAGTTGCGTAGATCGATGCTCATGCTGTTGATCACCGGATTGTCTGACTCGATTATTTACAGAACGACGTCATATAGCTGGAATACTGTTGAGTGTCGAGTGAGGGTGTTGCACACTATTGAGATAGGGTGTGTGGGGGTGGGTGGTGGTGGTGCGCACTTCATTTTCAAGAGCGTTTCAATGATCATTTAATAAAATCTCACGACGGGGTGTGGGGGTGGTGTTGTGCACCCTGCACCCCTCATCTGGACCCGCCTATGGTGAGGCGTTACAGAACAACAAACCAGTGATTCAAACAGACGGTAATGAGGATACTGGAAGAAGTGTTCGTAAAATATATGAATACATACATACCATACACTACTTGTACACCTTCCAAAAATGGCAATGAGCCCAAGTCATGATAAAATTCCTGTGTCACTTGCAGTAAGTGTATGATATTTATGATAACCAGATCATCTCCCCGAGGTCAGGTAATTAAAGGATTATTCAAATCCAGTTTCCACCTTTGGCGAACTGGACTGGGAGGCAATGTTGTAGCGCAGTGTTAGCGCCGCCACAGGCTATTACGAGTTACTTCCCTTCAATGTTCCTTCTGTTGTAATGTACCAATACTGGTGCCAAGCCAGACGATCTGCGGGTCGGATGCAGCTTTTTGAGATGGGGTGTGCACACTCTTGAGAAAGTGTGTGTGTGTGTGTGTGTGCGTGCGTGCGTGCGTGCGTGCGTGCGTGCGTGCGTGGCTGAGGTCACATTGTCAATTTGTCCCACTTTCAAGAGGCGCCCTGGTTTTAACTGATATACCGCATAAACAGCCTAAACAGTCATTCACTAAAAGCAGAAAACAGGAATAAAAGATTAAGCAACAGAATGTTAAGAGAATAGATTTATTCATTTCATACATTGAATTGACAAAAGACAGCACAGAATACCGACATGCCCTCGTAAAATATCACGGAAATATTGTCGTTCCTCTGGATGTCGCTTCACATAAAACATTGATGGATCTCTGTAAGTGTAGCTTAATATCTGGCGTGTGGGACTATACGCCAGTTTCAGAGAATCCAAGAACTATTCATACACAACAGTCATTTCTTGTACGTGAAGTTTGAAACTAATTTTACAGCCTTGCCCATTTGATAGCATTCGTGAGAAGCATAATGCATTCTGGAGCAACGTCCTCGTGGATGGTTAAGGCTGGTCATACATATACACAGACGTGTGTGAGACGGAAACAGTTCGTCGCCTGGAAACCAGATTGTTCTATGCCCACTTTTGGTGAAAACTGACTTTAGAAGCTCAGGGTATGTTTTACTGCATATTCTATCTCCATGCAAAATTTCATCGTGATGTATAGCCTAGAAAGGGGTTTTACATTGTTTTATCTCCATAAAATAACACAAATCGTTTCAAAGTATTATAAGTGGTTATTGGACCAATCAGCAAATTCAGTTTGATCACTGAACATAGAGATGGAACAATCTGGAGATTATTATCATCATTATAGAGATACAAATGGAACATTGGAACATTGCCCTTATCTATGATTTATTTCATGTGATTTGTAAGTTATGAAATTAAAACCAGTTAGAACAACAAAAGTACAACCTGGTACGCGATAAATAATAATACAATAATCGTACAATAATGTTTCAGCTGCATTGTTGATACATAGAACACTCTGGTGCCGACCAAAATCACAACTCTATTTGGCCGACTGTTCTATATCCAGGTGTTTTCTATCAAGAGCTTTAACATACTTTGGGTTATTTTCCATGTCTTTTTGATATAGCACATGTATGTGCACAATTCCTCAGAATTTCATCGAATAGTTTTGAAAATATTTTTGTTCTAAACTTCAAGCTCGATGTTCCCGAAAACAGGTTTCAGGACCAAGAACACTCTAGTTTTCAGGCGTCGAATTTACTTTCAACAGTATTCCAGTTAGATCACAGCGTGTCAGCTGAACGTTTCAGGAAAGTCCGAGGTGAAACCGAGAAGCAGGGGCGTGCTGCTGACAATCGTATAAACATGATCGCGTTCAACTGGCATTCGTACACATAATCATTGGTTCCTGGCTTCCACAAGGGACGCAACTCCAAATTGTGCTGCCCCGGATAAGAAGCCAACATCTTTCCATAATTGAGGTTTGTAATAATTTGCTCTTTAATACTAACGATTGTTTTATTAATTATTAACACAGCTGTATTTCTCTTGAAAGCCCATCACTCTTACTTGAAACGAACGAATTGGTCAAATATTCTTCGATTATATTCCGATTCATTTGAACGCAGTAGATTAGACAACCTTTGGTAGAAGCTAAGGCAGCCTAACCCGTGAATCACATTTGCCTATGAAACAAAGCATTTGACCTTTCACTCGTTTTCGCTAAGATATGCCAGGGAATTTTCATAAGGCCACATGAAATATAGTTTTTGTATATTTGAATCAGTATTTTGTTTTCTACATTCAAGCAGCATTGTGGTGAATTACAACAAAGATTCGCCCTTTTCACAAGACCACCTAACAAACAAGTACCCAGAATTCGGCAACACCACACTCGCTCAACAATTCACATACACCTACGGGATTATACGTGTGCAATTTTAAATGGCTACAACTAGTGCCCAGATGAAAGTGACTTATTCTATAGTTGTCGTAGTATTCGTAACCTTAACTAAACAGCTTCACTATAGTCAACTTCAATAATTCACACTTTTGTATACACGACGTTTTCGCACCGACAGGCGTGTATCCGCTGACGTTCAACGACCAATGAGAATTGTATCCCACAGACGTGAAGGTTTGTTTCTTGATAACGTATTCAGTTTGCCGCCGTCATCCTCGACGTCTCGACCTAGTGGATTTAACACAATGTTAAACCAGGTGACGTCTCATTAGGAATCCAAGAAATACAACCTTTTCTCTTTATATAAATATCCCAGCCGCTCCAGGCTTTAGAGGTGACATTGCAGAGCTTTGAGGTACGATTGAGGGTGATCTGTGTTCACATATTTGACAGAGCGTTGTAGAGCTTTTCTTATAAAATTGTGTAATCAAGGTTACACCATTGCTGTCTTCTTTAAAGCATTCACAATATTTTATGGAAACAAGTGTGAAGGACTTTCAAAATGTGCCCCATCCGTGATAAAACTGATGTCCGATGGCATTACCTTTTTTAATTGCCCCATATATATGACTCCGTGTTTCAGTTGAACAATTGTCTTCCCTTTGCATGTGTTTTTGTGATAGATGACATCGATAGGACAGTATGCGATCAACGTCCTCACGAACACTATTTTATAATGATTCCTGAACACATGCTCATGATATAATCGTACTGTCGGCTCAGCTTTGATCAGGATGCAGAAAGGGGTTGTCTTGTATACTACAAACAGGATCATGTACAACATACGTGACACCTACATCATCTATCCACCAGATGGATTCATAGATTGTGTCTGAACGATCACGACCGTGAACTATTCAAGATCAACAAGGTACCAATTGAACATCCATACATTAAATCATCTTTGTTTGATACACGTTGCAACACCAGAGTCCTTTTCAAATCTGAAAACAAGGACAGTCTTCCCCCCAAACAAAATCGTACAAGGAATGAAACAATACAATTAATAGGGGGAAGAGAATTACTAAAAATGTAGAAAACAAATTTGAAAATGAAACATATAGTAAAACATGAAAATGAAAACATTAAATTAATTGTTTATATTTAAATATAATTTAGCATTAAGTGATAAAGGAACTAACTATATATCAGCAGCGAAGAACACACGGGAACATTTGATGAATAAGAATCGAATGGTAGAATTCATCTGCAAGAGTTCTTGTCAGAATATTGTGTTCTGTAACAGGTGTTCCTTGTAAATTGGGATGCGTCAAGGCAAACTTATCACACTGTGCTTCTTCTCCAACGTGGACATGTCAGATCACACATCTCTAACCATCCATCTTGATTCGTATATGAACCAATTCTTCTTTGTCAAACGAAACTGTTAGTTTTTGTAACGACGGCGACGGGACCAACGTCTCTAGGAATACTGTGCAGCGTTGCTGCTCGATAACACTTGCCGTTCTCATAGAAACAATGGAATCGTTTTCTCTCACAGGAACTCGGCTCAGAGTCGTGTTTACTTAACACTTCCTTGTCTTTGTGTTTCGGTTTGTTTTTGCTTTTGTTTTTGTTTTTCGGGTCACAGTTACCGTTGTTTTTATGTCGCGCACTGGATGAAGATGCGTGCCAGTATATCCTTTGAAATTTCCTGGAGTTGGTTCTTAATTTGTGCCTTATCCACATCTTTCTAAGTTCAGATTGTACCTGAGGTAAAAAACAAGTAACTCGGGTTAAAATCAATCAGACAATGTGTTGCAGTTTGTTTAGAATTTTTTTTATGTTCTTATTTCCTAGCAAAGGTTTATATGGCACATAAGTATGCGTAGATGTTAGCATGCACATAAGTATGCGTAGATAGATAATATTGTTCATATTGCATATGAAGTACAGCTAATACAGGTTAGACTATATCTGATAGCCCCTGTGGCATGTCATTTTTACATTACACACTATTACCCAGCAGATGTTTACATTTACATAAGTACGCGTAGATACATAGTATTGTTTCATATTGTATATGAAATACGACTAGTGCAGGTTTGACTGCAGCTGATAGCGTGCAAGGCTATCCGTTGCCAAATTTTCTTGCTTTTATGTCTCGTTAATATAAGTGTTATTCTTTCTCAGTCAAACATTTACTGAACACCCATAGCCTTCCAGATGACATCTCGTCCGCCTCAAAACAGCCATAAATGAATAGGCGATACCAATGGACACTGTGACGGAAATGTATACATGATGTTTGTGATTCAAAGCTGTAAATATACATTTGATAACGTTGGATGGCATCCTTACCTCGCCGTTGCAGAAACAGAAGAGGCAGGCAACGAAAAAACCCTGGAAATGAATACAGGTAGAATTAACTTTTGCATCGTTGCAAACGCACACAGACACGCACGGACGCGCACATGCGCACACACGCACACACACATACAGAGAGAGAGAGAGAGAGAGAGAGAGAGAGAGAGAGAGAGAGAGAAGGGGTGGAGAGAGGAATGACGTGTCGTTGGATATGTGGAAAAAACAATACCGGGAATAATGCTATCAGGAAGAAAACGTGCCAAAGTTGGCATCTTGCAAATACGGTGGGTGAAGGTAGGACAACAAAGTGTCTGTGAATATTTACCTGGAATGAATTGAAGAAAAGCTCGTAGTATAGTCTTACTAACTCCGTCGTGGGGTTGATGTACGCTCCGTCGGGAACGAATACGAATATGATGTAATGGACGCCGAAGAGTGGTATCAGCACCAGGGTGGATTTGGCCAACCTCCTGCAAAATAGTGTCAGATATGGTGGGATGGTCATTTTAAGAGTTAATCATAATGTTTATAGTCCGTTTGGCTCAAAAGCGGACCGATGAATTGCAATCTAACTCGAAAACTAATAAACATAACATACTCAATGAAACGCTGATCATAATCAAAACATCATATCCACTCTGTGAGGATTTTGCAGAATTTTTGTCCTAAAAATAAAAAAGTTGTTTAACAAACTATCATTAAAATATTGACACAGTACACTGTTTGTTACGAGGGAGGAGTGCAGAGAAAGGGACAGCCACGTGTTCGAGAAGCACGTTCACAGACAAAGTTATCTATTCATTAACCTGTGCTGTGCCGTCACTCACTCACTCTCAACTAACCCCGCTGCTGTGGAAATGTATGTCCTCGTGATATAAACATACTATTAGTCGATCTGTGTCCCCCGCCCTGGAATATTGCTAAATGCGGCGTAAAACTAAACTAACTCACTACTGTTACTCGAATACTCATCAGGATCTTTCTTCATCCATATTCCTTAAAAAGGTTTCTCATGCGACTCGATCTACATTGTAAATTAATTTAAAGACTGTTACCCCAAGTGATCTAAATTTTGTCTTAAATCTATTATGAAATAAGTTTCACAGGTACACTTTTTTTTCATTTATACATTTTTCCACGCACGCGCTCTCTTGCTGGTTGAGAATGGAGATCAGAAACAAATAACAATAATAATAAGTATATATCGTGGAATCGCGCATCAACATCGGGCGAACTCTACCGTTGCCTGACAGTGTATAGAGTATAGGACAAACGACATTAGTGCATGTTGCACACGAAATATTACCCATGTAAGCTGAACACTGATTGGTTAATGGCGTGCTGGTTCCCAAAAGCTGGAAACAAGCCGAGACTTGATTCGCTGGATCGAAGTGAGTTTACCCTTGAAGTATTGGCGATGGCATACCTCATGCCTATGTTTTACACTGTATGTTAGTATATTCTCAAGGGTACTCACCTATATCGATATTTTCTCGCCCGGGGTGTACTGTTCCTTGTTACTTGTAGCTTGGTAAACAAAACCCGCACCACGTTCACGAAAAAAACAAAGCAGCCCTGGAAAGGGAATAAAATAATGTCTTAGAACAAATACATGGATGTGTACAAACTGTTCAATGTTAGTCAATTATTTGTGTTTTCAATCCGACTATATGTAGCTTAATTCGTGTTCAACGAGGGGCGGTGGGGTAGCCTAGTGGTTAAAGCGTTGGCTCGTCACGCCGAAGACCCGGGTTCGATTCCCCACATGGGCACAATGTGTTAAGCTCATTTCTGGTGTCCCCCGCCGTGATATTGCTGGAATATTGCTAAAAGCGGCGTAAAACTAAACTCAGTCAGTCAGTCAACGAGAAGCTCAGAAACAATTCAGCTGTATGACATGGTAACATATGTCATATTTGGGATTACACTTTCTTAGTAAACTACAAATTTAAGTACTTTTGTTGGGTTGAGTCCCATCCGGGACTCAAACCCACGACATCCGAGTCAGGGACCTAATTGCCTCCACACAAAGTCGGAGCGGGTAAGGCGTCGTCGAAATCGAAAATTAAGCAAATCTCGGGCGTAAACAACGCTGAGAAAACACTGAGCTTAGGAACATATACTCTGCCAAAAGAGAAACGCATCATGAAAGTAGCAATTTCATGTAGCAATGAATTAAAACGTGTTTCATTGTACAAAAGGTTTTGCTCTGTTTATGAGTCCTATGGTGTTTATGACTTTCCTCGGGTTGGTGCCAAAGACGGATAAGTCTGCATTCTCAGTGTGCAATTTCGCTATATTTCATTGACTCATAAAGCCTACAAGATGTTTCAAAATAAACATAAAAATACAGTTGAAATTCCTATATGCGTTTCTTGTTTGGGAGAGTATATATTTCAGACCAAGGATCATTTATACCAATAAGAAACAATTTGTATCTCTTTAAACAAACCAAGACACGATTCACTTTCCACGTTCTTTTTTCTTTGATCTCACATCCAGTATGTCGTTACTGGGAGCGTATGTCCGCCGACAAAAACCACGTAGGGTCAGTTCCAAAGACTGGTTCACTGGTTTTAGTCACACCCTCAACATTCTTATAGAAGATATTTTACTTGTACAAATCTTGACAAATCAGTTGATGCGTCGTAATATCATTGCTGGTTGCAGATAGGATTGCATGTGTTGGCTTATACTTCCATGTCTCACGTCAAACAATGTGAGGGGGTCGAAGCTTTTAACAGTCATTTATTAGCATGGGCAGGGTTAGTCTAAAGGGAGAATAAAACTTAATATAATTAGAAGAAGAATACAGGCCCTTTGTGACCTACTGGAAATATTAAAATTTTGGAGAGGTTTCAAATCAGTGAAAGGGTTAATGCTGACCATTATCCGTCCTTAAACACTTCTGAACTGATCATGTACATATTTAATCAAATCTGTCAAAACCTATAGTGTAGAAATGTAAAAATCCCCCCCCCAATTTCTTTTTTTTTTTAAATAAAAATAAAAAACAAAGAAAAAACCCCAAAACAAAACATTAAATTTTGTATTTACAATACGTCCCTAAGTTTATTATTAGGCAACTTTTTCCGATAACCTCACTTTCAGTTCTTTTAACACATCCTATCCTCGCATGTTGATTACAATTTGTATTATATGTTAGGCCAAAACATGAGATAGTTGAATTGAACATAGTCTTCAGTCATATGAACACAATAAAGCGTAAACTAGGCAGATCATATGTGCAATCAAGCCTATCTGATCGTAGAGCTTCCTTCAAAGGTGTAACACGAGGAGGCAGTTTATCTGCAACCCCAGCTCGAGGTGCCGACTTGTGTCTTTTAACCGATACAAGATCTGCTGATATGTCGAAGGGCCGTCAACAATTTGAGCGCACTCTGTATTTTCTTCATAGTGATGGAAGTTTCAGGTCCGAGGTTGAAACCAAAACCAGAGTGACATATCGTCGTAAAAATGACATAAACCAAAAGTAACTTTAACATAACGGGTGTAAAGACCTTGGAGTCGACTTTGTGTGCAGACTCTTTCAGTGTTGTCATAACCCCTAGTGTACAGTACACAACCCTGTGCACTTAAAAGAACCCACGAAATCGTTGGTAAATGACTAGATGGTGGCCACATGAATACGTGCAAACACCTAGTTGCGGGTACAGCAACGTGCAGTAAACTTGGACAAAGTACTGTGACTATGTGTCCCAGTCCACCCAGCTGAGAATGGGTACCTCGTAAGGATGGGAAAGCCACATTAACTCGGTGCGCTTAGTGGCTGCAAGAGTTGAATGATCCTCAGGGATTTGAGATTGATAATACGACGTGCCGTTGAGATTAAAATCTAGTGATCGAGGGAAAAACAAAGCGCCTGTGAGCAGCCTAGCTGGAACTCGGCGCTATATAAATAGATTATAACATAATAACAATAAATAATAATAATAAAGTTAACATTTGTATAGCGCTTGTTCCAACATATTGCTGAAGGGCGTATATATAGGCGAAGGTTATGTTGAACAAGTGGGTTTTCAGTTGTTGTTTAAACTGGTCGAGGTTGACAATATCCTGAATGTGTCGAGGAAGACGGTTCAAGAGCCAGGGGCCGGCTTTGGAGAAGGATCTGTCACCATATTGTCTTTTCCTGGTCATAGGATCATCAAGTGCTCTTGATGATCTTCACCTGAGATCTCTCCTTGGGGTGTAGATGGATAGGAGTTCCCTGACCATGCAGTGATTTGAAGACAAACACCAGGTCTCACTGGTAGCCAATGGAAATCTTGTACGACCAGGGGATGTGATCTCGACGTCTGGTATTGGTGATTACTCTTGCAGCGCTGTTGTGCACTCTCTGGAGTCTGTCGAGTGAGTGAGTGTTCCGATGCCCCATACAATATACTAACAATAATAATATAACCCTAGTATACTTACCACTAGTATAGCGACTATGGGACCCTTCATGATCCAGAAGTATCCAGGGGTGGGGTTAGTGTTCCAACAACTGAAGAAGAAGATCACATCACGCTATTAGTATGTAAAGTCACATCGAACATTTGCTTCGTATTACCCTCACCCTAAAATCTGCCAGAACCTTGTAACATCTCAATCTGCATTTAACTTCGACTGATTACAATACGCAATACAACTGACTATGTCGATGACTTTCTCCTAATTGACATTCGTACATTTGCAAATCAGGAACGTCTGTTTATCATTGTTGTCGTTAAGAAGGGTATGAGTATCTTTTTGATGAAACTTCATCTCGTATTATTCATTTATATAATGTTCTTGAATATTTAGCCCATTGAAATCTGTTTCGGCTCATAGTCGATACTTTTTATGTTTTGGCGTCGACGTTTCCAGCTGAGTATTTTGGACATCGAAATCGATAAAACTATCGATAAATTATTCCCACCTACCAAATGATGATCTTTGTATGTGGCCTAATGGCAAGTCTTGTCGATGCAAAAAATCAGTGAGATAAAAGGGGTATCCTGATGCGAAAAAAACAGTGAGATAAAAATGGGTATCCCGAACCGATGAATATGGAACTGACTTGCTGACTGAGTTTGGTTTTACGCCGCTTTTAGCAATATTCCAGCAACATCACGGCGGAGGACACCAGAAATGGGCTTCAAACATTGTACCCATGTGGGGATTCGAACCCGGGTCTTCGGCGTGACGAGCCAACGCTTTAACCACTAGGCTACCCCACCGCCCGTCCTCAATATGGAACTGCTTAGTACAGATTGTTTTTAATAATTTCCTTACATTGATGTGATATATCAATGCTTTATTAACCAGTGGTGTCCTCATTTACTATAGAGTGTCACCTGGATTGCTAAAGACAGGGACACAAATGGCATTTTATCTTAATGAGGATGCTCTCTGCAGTGATACGGACAGGAATGTCAACCTGACCTTTCCAGTATTCATACGTGGTCTGCAAAATTACTAAGTTTCTGGAAATTCGGCTTAGGCGATTACGAACCACACTATATGGCAAAGTGAATACTCCCCGCACGTTTTCGTGTCATAGAGGCAATATTTGTAGCAACACAATATGCCAATAATTCAGATTTAAGCACAGGACACATTGGTCTTTTTTACAGTTTTTCAAAGATCAGACATCTCTTGTGAAGAACATCGTCATCGATTAGCCCTTGCTGCTCTCAGAGTGCTGATAAATTGATCATCAAGTGAAATCCCTCAAAGCAGTGCAACCTTTCAAAGACGGAAGAACCCTACATACAATCCGGATACACATCTATAAGCACACACAACCCGGATGCTTCAAATATACTTCAGACATATGAAATATGCCCGGATCCATATGACAGTAGTGTTGTTTTGCTACTTAAAGTATAAACATTTCGATCAGAACGGAATTCTTATGGAGTCGATTGATGTCGTCGGGAATGTCATGTCAAAAGTTCTCAAGTTTCGAGGAGATTGGCTGCATGTGTGTCACAGCTGCCCGTGGTACCTGTCTGGTGGCTATGAATAGAGGGTACACCCTTTAGTATGACATATATTACCATTCTGACTCGTATATATGACAGTCATGTCATCGTACGCGTCGACACAGAACACCCAAGTTGCGTGATAGATACATGCACAAGGCCATTTCCTTATAAAAGTATGCCAATTTTCCGTTCCTGCAGTCGGAATTGTATCAATATTATATCACTGCAAATGTTGTGACAACATTGAGTTCAAGATCGGATCCCTTTCACAAATTTTGGTCTCTACTCTTTTGGCCAATTGAAACGTCTTTGTTGTTGTTAACAAGTGTTGTTGTCAAAGTGCATTGTGAACGGAAATGTGTCTATGAAATGCAATAAAGTGAATAATTATAGAAGACACATTTTCAAGCCATAATATATTTTGGGCTATGCTTTACTTTATTTTACTTTATTTATTTAAAAAGTACAAAGCCTATGACATTGTAGCTTGAATCTCACTGAATGGTAAAATGGACTACACTTTGCACTTTACTGAAAACGTGTGTACATTTTTACTCTTTTTAGCATTATGTATGCATGCATTTCCATATTCATAATGATAAGAGCAGAGTGCAGTTGTGGATTTGTACTATAACATTAGCATATATTTCAAAGACTGTGGTTCATGGTGTTTGCTGTGGAATCCTGACCAGGTTACTTTACGTAATCATTGCCGAAGAGATAAGACCATTTTGTGAAGTCGTACCAAGGATCTAAGTTTATTATTTTATTTTGCTTTTGTCTAGCCTTAATGGAAGGTTCACATTAAACTTTGTGCGGTATTGCGGATTTTTCTTTGTGTTGTTTGATGTTTGATGATTTTCACGAATATCCTTCGGAGACTTCTTGAACGTATTTGAAAGAGGGGACAGTTTCTGTTTATATCTTGTTTAAGGCCGCACTCAGCAGTATTTACGCAATATGAAGGTGTTCGGAAACTTATCGAGTCCGTACCAGCGAATGGCAATCAGTATAATAGTGTATAATTCATTGACTGACATACATACTCCGGTAAATGTATGTAATAGATATTCTAATCATGTGCACTGACTATTTGTAATTGAATATGCATGCAATTTTCGCTTAACATTTTATCTCCACGTCATAGAAACATTTCGGTTTACAGGGCAAATATCGCCATTACTTACAACTTATTTTCAAGACTGGCCCGGACGGCAACCCACGGAATGACGAAAACCAACGGCCCTCCTGAAAAAAATATCCGACATATTATTGACACAAATGTCCATTAACAAGTGTTTTTATCAAACGTAGAAGCGCAGGTATTCAGGAGTGGGCGTGGAACCTATTGATCTTATTTTACAAAGCGCACGGAATCGTACGATTGCAGTGTACTCCCAAAGTGAAACATGGACTTACGATAGTCGTCAAAGTGAAACATGCACTTATGATAGTCGCCAAAGTAACACATGGACTTACGATAGTCGCCAAAGTGACACATTGACTTACGATAGTCGCCACAGTGACACATTGACTTACGATAGTCGCCAAAGTGACACATGGACTTACGATAGTCGCCAAAAAGAAACACTGAGTTACGATAATTGCCAAAGTGAAACATGGACTTACGGTAATCACCAAAGTGAAACATGAACTGCTAGAATTTCCACCACGTCTCCAATGGCTGGCCAAATTTAATTTTAAACTTCGCGTACTCTGAAAGTTTTCATATGATTGGCCACAATGTCCTATATGCCTCTAAAACTACAAGGTGGCTTAGTTTTATTGAAGTCCCTGCTAGTTTCAACTGCAATTATAGTATCATATATAGGATTAGTTGATAAGCCACCTTCAAGGAATTTGTCTGTATCAATAATGTCTAATCTTCAAGACATATGAATTGGTCTGGTGCATTTCTGTGATACAAACATGGGCTACATATTGGTTTGATAGGATTAATATGGCCATGCCGCCAGTAATGATCAATATCTTACAAATATAACGCATAGATAAGCTTCCCTTCTCCGATCCATGCATCGTATCAACGTCTGTAGATCATAGATGTAGTTAACTTATCATTTCTTGCTTATATCAGTACATTATATTTTCTTTATGTCACGGATGTGTGCTACAGACCATCAAGGTTTAACAAATCTGTACACTCCCGTAATGTAATACCTCTCCCGACATAAATCCGAACTTTCCTTCCCCAGAAGATAACTTTCAGTAAGGGGTCCAGATCGATAATGGCGAGTAGACATAAACAACTTCGAATTCAATGATATTGTTCATTTTCCAAGAAGAAAAGTACACCTATTTGGAGGTAATTGATTACGAAAGACATCTGGCTGTAGGGACATCAGTGACGGGACGACCCATGGCACCAAGATGAGATATACAGATAAGATGAACATTCAACAGTGTCCGGATGATAGGATAAGGTAATTGAAGCTAAATCTCCTCATGCAATCTAAATTAACCGTATCGAATAATTTAAATGCCAGTCATCCGAAATTTCGGGTTATAATTAGTTGGTCGAACCCAGGGATCAGGTAAAGGGGGTCTACGCTGAAAACAATTCGATTCAATCATGGGCTGCAATTCCTTGGTGTGTGTCTGTCTCGCGACAAATCACCCTGATTATCCAGCTCCCAATGTGTCACTAATTACACCGTCTGGGTCATCGGGTCAGAACTGTGGAACCAATTCCCCACCTTCCGGGTTCAGGTCACTAGTCCAGAGTATGACCTTTACCTCTTCATTGTTACTTGTATTAATTGTATTATAGGGCCCTAATCAGTTTATCAGTTTCAAATTTGAAATAGGACATGCAAACACCATCTTAGTATGTGAGATAGCGCCTTTCAGCTTTAACATATTTAACTTTGAAACAATAATTTTCAACGTCTCAGATCAAAATGCAACACCTTAACTACCACAATAAAAAACAGCTATTCTCACTACATCTAATGTACAGCGGCTACTACCACCACCACCACCACCCAACCACTACTACCTCTACCACTTCTACTACTGCCACCACAACTACTGCTACCACCACCACTACTACTATTTCTACCACTACCACTACTATACTACAACTACTACCTCAACCAATACTACTACTGTTTCTACTACTACCACTACTGCTACCACTACCCCTACTACTACCACCACCACTACTACCACAACTATAACCACCATTACCACTACTAGTACTACTACCATTACTATTACTTAAGTGGGGCGGTGGGGTAGCCGAGTGGTTAAAGCGTTAGCTCGTCACGCCGAAGACCCGGGTTCGATTCCCCACATGGGTACAATGTGTAAAGCCCATTTGTGGTGTCCCCCGCCGTGATATTGCTGGAATATTGCAAAAAACAAACTCACTCACTCACTACTACTTAAGTACTAGTGTCAGAAAGTGTAATCTCACATACATCTATAAACAAACTTTCTAAAATGACATTGTCTTCAGAAACGTTGACCGTGCAACCATGTGACGACGATGTCGCTACAGACAGAGATGTCGCATGTTTAACTCACCCCATCCCAGGAGTATATACCAGCGCACGGTGTTCCGCTCGGAGAAGACGGCGACGATGATGAGTGTGTGGAGGTACAGCCCCTCCACAAATATCCACATATAGTTGGCAGCCAACATGTAGTGGAAACAGGTCAACAGCAGCTTGCACTGCCAGTGCTGCAATAAACAGTGTCCGGTATAAGCAGGTTATTCTTTAAAAGCCTGACGAAGCTACAATAAAGTTGACAGTTTGATCAATTTTTGTAATCACAATATCGTTTGTTTGTTGTTTAACGCCTTGGTCAGCAGTATTCTATCTAAATGGCGATGGTCGAGTCTGGACCAGAAAATCCAGTGACCAACAAACTGAGCATCGATCTACTCAGTTGGGAACCGATGACATGTGTCAACAAAGGCAGCGAACCTGACCACCCGATCCCGTTAGCCGAATCTTACAACAAGCAGGAGTTGCTGAAGACATATTCCAACCCGACCTTCAAGAGTATTATAACTGTAAAACGGAAAAGCGAATATATCTGTTCAACATTCACAACAATCTTCAACTGAATTCATAGTTCATTCTAACCTTCAAACAATGTCATAAGCTTGTGTTTTGAATCGCTAACAAATAGCACTGACAACAAGGGTTCTCGGCAAAGTGAGCGTGCCCTGCCCGACCGTTTGCACCTTTCACAAACACATGCACAGTCAAGACAAGACTGAAAGCATTTAGATGCCTGGATGCTGTGAATTGAAATAACAGTTTCAAACTTCTATCCGTATAGTCTCTAAAGCTCAGCATGATTTCTTGTGCACATATCAATGATAAATCGTGTTGTTGACTGGAGACAGCGCGACAATACAATAGAAAATATATGTTTTGTTATAACGTTGTAGTTGCTCCTGCTTCAAGCGGTGCCACTTCTAGACATGAATGAACGTCTGACTGAACTGGAGTTCCAATAACTTCATATGCAGGGCGGTGGGGTAGCGTAACAGTTAAAGTGTTCGCTCGTCACGCTGAAGACCCAGGTCCTATTCAGCACATGGGTACAATGTGTGAAGCCAATTTCTGGTGTCCCCCGCCGTGATATTGCTGAATATTGCTAAAGCGGCGTAAAACTAACCTCACTCACTCGTATGCATCTTGTGTGTCGTCAAGAAAGGCGCGGATGGCCTATTTACGGAGGAGCTACAATTAGGTGAGCAAATTTTGATCCCTTTGTCACGCCAGCCCGCCTATAATTGTGTGTTCGAATCTCAATTATATTTGATGGACTAAGAGCAGAACGACTTTATCCAAAGTTGTAAATGTTTGATAGCTGAATACTGACTGACTGAGTTTGGTTTTACGCCGCTTTTAGCAATATTCCAGCAACATCACGGCGGGGGACACCAGAAATGGGCTTCACACATTGTACCCATGTGGGGATTCGAACCCGGGTCTTCGGCGTGACGAGCCAACGCTTTAACCACTAGGCTACCCCACCGCCCTTGATAGCTGAATAAATGCGGACTTTCCTCCGACACAAAGCTAGTATTGTTCCGCATAGCCTTATAACCCGTTCACTCTTTATGTCATGACACTCAACTTTCTTGTGCATGCCTGAGTCTAACAGTAACAGAATACACCTAACACTTTTCCATCCAATTAGGTCACACCTTTTCATCCTTGAACGACTGAAGCCAGCGTTAGCGACTTGTACAAGGACGTTTTCCGCCGTTACTGTGAACGTGCCACAAATAACGTCACAACACATTACAGGACGGCCAACACGACTTTAATCTCAGAAACAGTCATGAATACACTATACACGTATGCCACAAACGCCAAGGGAAGAAATCAATAAATATTTGGCGACCTCCCGTTAATTAATTACTTGCTTTCAAGTGAGTATGATCAGGGCCCTAAATAACATTGATTTAACTAACATGTCCTTCGCTTCAATACTGATTCCAAGGGACGATTTGTTTCCCTAATACGTGGATCGTTACACTTTAATTATGTAATTACGGGATTAAAATAGCCTAAGAAACTGCCTGTATAGTAATGAGGAGATTCGCTCCTTCTGTTTGATCTTCCGATAAGCTTGTGTGCATAACAGCTTGAAAGAAAGGCCGTTTTATAACACACGTTAGTTTTTGTAGGCAGGAAGCTATAGTCATTACATTAATCTGAATCAGAACATTAAACTCATTTATAAAAGTACATGTATTGCAGTGTATTTGGTTCGTGTACAAGTTGTTCACAGTGCTGTGGTATACTAGACGCCTCAACACGTGATTTCTTTAATCTTTCGGATTCAGAGGAATTGAAGAGTGAGTGAGTGAGTGTGTGAGTGTGTGAGTGAGTGAGTGAGTGAGTGAGTGAGTGAGTGAGTTCAACGATCGAGGATATATGTCATGCGGCTGTCTCATGACAGGACAGATGTGCCAGACAACAAACACTCGCTCTTCATGCAAATTTCGCCTGCTGTCATTTGTGATTTTCAGCGAGCCATTCTTTGCATAATCATTTACTAAGGAAGTGTAATCCCAAATATATCATATGTTAATTCTTTAATAATTTTCAACACTGTCATTTACTCGAAACTGAACCTGTTTCAACGGTTCATCGTCCGATTGTTCACTGCCGTTGACGCTATTGATATAGCTTTTAACAGATGACTGATATGTAACAGCTGAAGCTAGTGATAGTTATCACATATAGTTACAAAACAAATGCAAGAAAACTCTTTGCATGATCATAAGAAATGTATGAAAATCAGTCCATTGCATGATTCCGATTATCTCGTGAGCAAGTGTTTTTGAATAAACATCAGGCAGTGATAAGAATATATTGGGCAGGAATTATCTTATTGTTTACTGTTGATATTTACAGTCACCAATACGCAAGTTTTATAACAACGGACTTTAACCAATCGCGTTTTGTCAGGCAAACCAGTGGTTGATATTATGAACACCGTGTGACAACCCGATCTAATAAGTCCCTTACTCGAAATTCAGTAAAAAAATATGAATTCATATGTGCCGGTACTTTCAGCTCCAAAAATCAGTGTTGTCTACATATGAATGATGGTATTATCATAAAGACAAGAGTGTTTTATGGGTGACATCTTCTTTATTGTGAAGAGTCACGACGTTTCGAAGTATGTTTTTACTCCTTCATCAGGAAGTGAGTGAGTGAGTTTGGTTTAACGCCGCTTTTAGCAATATTCCAGCAATATCACGGCGGGGGACACCAGAAATGGGCTTCACATATTGTACCCATGTGGGGAATCGAACCCAGGTCTTCGGCGTGACGAGCGAACGCTTAAACATCAGGCTACCCCCACCGCCCCCTTCATCAGGAGTATGTTCTTGCTCCTTCATCACCTGATGAAGATGTAAGAATATACTTCGAAACGTCGTGACCCTTCACAATAAAGAAGTTGTCATCCATAAAAGCTCTTGTCTGTATGTGTGTATCACTTCTAAATGCCATTCAAAGACTCGATGGTAGTATCAGCAAGCGTTATGTGTATAACTGATCTCACCGTTCCCTCCGGGATGAACTCAAGGACGCCGTGGTTGTTGGCGATGACGTCGCTGGGAAGACCCAACCCTCTGAGAAATAAGTTGTCCCTCAGGATGGAGAGCGTCGCTCGAAACATGAATGACAGGAACAGGTTCAGGTGGACGATGTTTCTGGGACAATGTAGACGTCTGGAACAACATGGGGGATGAATTCAGCCACAGATGACATGAGCAAACTCTTGTTGGATTAACACATTTCCTAAATAAATGAATAATAGGATGTGCATTCGGTCTCAGGCGTCGCAATCAGCTTAGCCAGCTTTCCTTTAATAGAAATACCTCAAATATATATCACGATACATGGATTGTACATACCGCTGATATGGCAAATATATAATTATATATACATTACGAGAGGTGAAATGTACACATTTGAAATGTAAATACCTGTAATGTACATACCTGTAATGTACATCATAATACCTGAAATGTACATCACGATACGTGAAAAATACATACCTGAAATATACCACGACAAAGACCGCGAAGGTGAGTGATGCCAGTGACAGACCGTATCCAATATTGAACATTATGCGGATCCGTGCCAAGTGTTCCTGGAATATTAGTAGTAGATTATTATGAAGTGATTAAGCCGCTTTTTGCTTGCAAACCTCACAGAGGAGAGAAAGGCATTTCTGTGAGTAAAGTTTACGCCGCTTTTGTTTTATTCCAGAAATGTCACTGCGAGGACACCTCGTCAGTTATACCTACATATGACTACAAGTAAACTGTAGAGCAATAAAATGCATTATTGAACAATTGAGTTGACAAAAAGCATGCATATGCAAACGTTCTCAAAAGTGTATTTTTCTTTAGACAGTCGCCGAAACACTGAAAATGAATGGATAACTGCAGAAATATTCAAATTTTATTTTATTTTAATGATATAAATATTTTAAGGGTTGAATTTAATATGAACTATATGCCATTGGTCACCCAACACAGAACACATGAACACAACGTTGTAAATATATTTCAAAAGTTTATTGTTGTTTAATTTAAAGCTGCAGTCAGCAACATTACAGCAATATGACGCCGGTTTGTTCATCATTGAATCTTGACCAGACAATCCAGTGATAGGTATACGCAATGTGTATGAGATGACCTAGCGACTCTTAGCATAAGCATAGGTTGCTCAGGACCAATTCTCAATCTTCATAGGATTTAGGAATTTAATCAGTTTATAGATTGAAGCATGTATTTTATAGATATTAGATAATTATATTACTTAGTGTATAAAGGGTAAATGAGTCGATATGATAATCCAGGTCGTCTTTCCACCAAGAAAACGTCTGATCGAAAGCCCCGTGAGAACATCTGTGTGAAGTACAACCTAGTTACCCTCTAATCCAGCAAAGCCCTTTGATCCTCTTTGTCTTCAAAGCAGCCTAGAGTAAAGATCAGATATTGTGCCACCATGCTGACTGTGTGTCAGTGCACCGCCGTTGTCCTGTTCAGCAGTCGATTATTTGCAAACCAAAGTGATACAGAACTGGACGACAGTCACCAGTTATCTCTGCTTGCGATAGACGAGCTTCAAAGTGACCTTGACCCAAGAAACGTAATACCATACGTTGGTCTCTAACTCTGTTTCGTACTTGTACGGGAACCACTATACGAATTCGCTACTCACTTAGGAATAGTGTTAGAGTTCATTATAAACTTTGTTATAGCCGTATAACTGTATTTGCTCCAGGCTCTCGTATAAGTCCACCTCTGGGATTGTTTGATCGGCTTTCTGGAAGTTGGTCAGTTACAAATGAAGTACACAACTTAATGGATGACAACTGCTTGTTTATTGCACAGAGCTACGTTTTCGATCTGCAACGGTGTATGAATCTATATATACTCTCCCAAAAAAGAAACGCATCATGAAAATAGCAATTTCATGTAGCAATGAATTAAAACGTGATTCATTTTACAAAAGGTAAGACGGATAAGTCTGCATTCCCAGTGTGCAATTTCGCTATATTTCATTGACTCATAAAGCCTACAAGATGTTTCAAAATAAACATAAAATACAGTTGAAATTCCTATCAAAATACAGTTGGAATTCCTATATGCGTTTCTTTTTTTAGGAGAGTATACATCAAAATGTCGCTCTATGCAATAAACAAGAAATTGTCATCCATTAAGTTGTATGCTTCATTTTCCGCCTCTGTGGTGTAGTCGTAGACCTTGTGTCGGAAAGCGTTCGGTGCTTCGATTCCCACTAACGTCATATCACTCAACGCTACAACGTTAACTATTGTTACGCTGTCTTACATTAATCACTGATTGAGTCTCCACACTATGTCTCAGTACATTAAACTGTGACATGGTCATTCCCTTGGATGAGTGAGTGAGTAAGTATGATTTTACGCCGCTTTCAGCAATATTCCAGCAATATCGCGGCGGGGGACACCAGAAATGGGCTTCACACATTGTACCAATGTGGGCAATCGAACCCGGGGTCTTCGGCGTGTAGAGTGCACGCTTTAACCACCACCACCACCACCCCGTAATTCACTTAACTAGCGGAATATGTATACGACCGGACTAGTACAACCGACCATACATATATGCAGTCACAAACCTTTGTGTCGAAGTTCGAGTTATTCGACGTTCGACACAATCGCAAAATGATGATAAAATAACAGGAAAACCGAAAGCATCAAACTTTGCTTCGAGATAACCGTAAGTTCGACACATCTGTGTTTATCACATATACACGTACACCCCGCTATTTAAGCGAAGTAATCTTAAACGCGTTTTAACCTTGTTTCACTTCCCCCTGAACCCACGTACGTATGGAATAGCATATTTTTACAAACCACGCGCATCATCCTTCTGACGTCACGAGGTGTCAGATGCTGAAACCAATTATTGACTCCGGGATATCTCAGTGATCGTATAATTATTAAGTGTTTTACAAATATAAAGATGATATGCTTGGTCCGAATACGAGTGGTAGAACTTGTAGTCTTAAATAAAAAAAGTGCATTGAATGTTTGTTTTGATCATATGCACTATAAGTCCACAAGCATATCGATTTCTTTGATTCAGTTTCCGCAGCAGGAATCACGGATCAGGTCCGATTGATTGTGACTTGAGGCAAGAACAGAACTGCTTATGTGTTTATGGGAATCTAAAGGAGGATTAACTGAGATATCTACGCTCAAGGCTTCGTCATCAGTTCAGACTGGACAATAAATTGTTTCTTAACTCGAGTACATTAGGACTGATTACTCAGAAGGTTTCTAAGGGCAAGGGGGTCGCTCATTCTCTTATTGACTACATGCAGTGCATAAAGCCGACCGCGTAAAGTACAGTACAGTACGTTTTCATCGAACATTGCTACCATAATTCGATGGCAGCCCTTCTGTAACCAACATCAATGATCATTGGTTCGAATCCTGATTGTGTTTTTAGATGTTCGTACTTTTACATCTAACTTCGCTTCGGGCTTTGATCCCACCTGAAGCAGACCTATCGTCATACAAGTGACATACCCCATAGTTCAAAGTGGTTAGCTGAGCAACTCTATCACTCACTCACTCACTCACTCGAGCGGTGGTGTAGCCTAGTAGTTAAAGCGTTCGCTCGTCACGCCGAAGACCCGGGTTCGATTCCCCACATGGGTACAATGTGTGAAGCCCATGCTGGTGTCCCCCCGCCGTGATATTGCTGGAATATTGCTAAAAGCGGCGTAAAACTAAACTCACTCACTCACTCAAATGAAGAAATAGTCTGACTCGTCTACTTGACAATACGTCTAGTCGAATACCTTAACCAGTAGCTCACTCACTCATCTGACGATGAGAGAATGGTGACTCGTATACTTTAACGCCCGCTTCACAGTTACAGCATTGTTACACCAAAGCCACATATGCACCAAAACGTTGCCAACCACATGACCCTAGCACGGCAAGCACGTGCCCTTGAATGACGTCAATTACTTCAACCTATGGCACTTAATACCTTGGATTAATTAGCGGAAAAAGAAACCGACGAACAATAGAAACAATTTGCTGAAAGCAAGGGGTATGAATCATCATGGACCAAGTACTCACGTATGGCAGGGCAGATATAGTGAGGCATTAACGCCGTTATTTCCGTACACTGTATACACGCGGTAGCGTGTGACCTGTGTTACCTTCGACGTCAACAACGTGATTGTGTTAACAGAATACTGTAACCGTTGACAAATCTGATTCATTTCTGTTCATTTCCTTAATGACTTTTCATCATTCACACACTGGATCTATTTGCTGCGTGTTTTCTGGGTAGTCATTCGATATTCTTTTAATTTAGTGAGTGTGTTGGACGGAAGGCCGCTTTAAAACGTTGCTCAGTTATGTCCCGGTCAGTGGTCCAGCCAGCTTATTGTAAGACAATGGCCAGTGGTCTCAGAGAGTTACGTCTTTTGTGAAACCAACGCGAACAGACCAAACACTCAGTATTCTAGCTATATAGTATCGGTCTGTAAATAATTGATTCCAGAACTGACAATCCAATGATCAACATAATGAGCATCAATATACGGTATACGCTGACAGGTATCAACAAGTCATCGAGCCCGACCCGCCGAATCCTTTAGTCGCCTTTTACGACAAGCATGAGCTTTTGGGGACCAATTCTACTGCTTAAAACCAATTCTAACACGGATATTCATAGGTTCATGTGTTGTTCATGGGTTTGAAATAATAATAATGTTTCCATTTATATAGCACCATACTGTACACTAAGTTTGGTCATAGCGCTCACAATGAATAAAGTATTAATGAAGTTAATTGATATGCAAGATTTTGTAGAGAAAGGTTTTGAGATTACATTTAAATTTTGAAGGGTTGGAGACAGCTTACGTTCATCAGGGATGGAATTCAATTTGACCGATGCCATGTTCTGTTAAGACTTGTATCCAAATGATTAGAGCTTCCACTTTTATTAGTGTGATAGGAATCTCATGAACGAAATGTGATTCTGTAAACACTATTTGATATAGCGGAAAGTTAACTTCGACGAGTGAGTGAGTTTGGTTTTACGCCGCTTTTAGCAATATTTCAGCAATATCACGGCGGGGACACCAGAAATGGGCTTCACACATTGTACCCATGTTGGAATTCGAACCCGGGTCTTCGGTGTGACGAGCCAACGCTTTAACCACTGGACTACCCCATCCCCCACTTCGACGTATGTATTTATGTATTTTCATTTAAGAACGAATTCTTGGTTATCAGCGACGTATCCGTGATGATCTGATACGAAAACAAGACACCAACGATCACTGAAATGATAAGACCGCCTCCGTGGCGTAGTGGTTAGGGAGTCCGCCCGGAGAGTGGAAGGTCGCGGGTTCGATCCCCGACCGCGTCATACGAAAAGACGTTAAAATATGGTCCACATTAATGGGTACAACAAGGACTGGTCGGCTCATGCTTCACTGCGGCATGGTATCTCAGTGGGCTAGCACTATAAAACCAGCTTAAGTCTGGGCTAGTACAAGCAGCCGCACATACACATACACACGCATGCACGTCGTCATATGAGCGAAATCTTCTCAAGCACGACGTAAATCCCAATTTAACCTCACCTCACCTCACTGAAATGATAGTTCGTTTCTCCAAGTAAAAATCCGATATTTATTTATCCTAAATAACGTCGTAAATGGCGATTCCATAGTGTGTCAGAAATGGGAAGAATTAGGATGTGCCTACTTTTCAATGCTCATTTTCGGTAATTCGGACTTTCCTGAAATGACAATGGATAATATGAAGAAATTGGGAATTTTCCACGGAATCGAAAACGTCCCAAAAAAATTGTTGTGGGTGGGATGCATGTTATATTCGAGTTCGAAATGAGAGTCATACATAATTCTTCACATTGAGCAATAGAGAACACGCAAGTGTCCGGATAAGCGAGGTTCGACTGTATGTGTTCTTGCGAGTGAGTGAGTGAGTGAATGAGTTTAGCTTTACGACGCATTCAGCAATATTCCAGCTATATGGCGGCGGTCTGTAAATAATCGATCAGACAATTCAGTGATCAACAGCATGAGCATCGACATACGCAATTGGGATACGATGACATGTATCAAGCAAGTCTGCGAGCCTGACAACCCGATCCCGTTAGTCACCTCTTTCGACACGCATGGTTTACTGGAGATCAATATTCTAACCTGGATCTTCAGGGGTCGTATGGTCTTGTGGTATCCAGGGGTTTAAATGAAGGTGAATGTTAAATATGACGTCAGTCGTGTGACGGATGGCGGCCGCACTGGTTTCGAAGTTTCTTAATGTCTTACTGTATTCGTCTGCTTTCTTGGTTCTAAGCAAGTGAATGCAAGCTGCTGAACGCGGTACCCTTCCAGTAACAGACATGTCGGTTCTGAACAGATCGATGTTGGCGGATACAGCGAACACATGGCCAGTTCCCATCAATAATCTCCGTCTGTTGACTTTGTTTGAACAGGACATTGACTTCCGTTTATGCTTAATTAGAGATGTCACGTTCGACATACGTTGTTCGTCAAAGTCAACTCTTAATTAATTAACCTAATTGACTTCTTAATTGCTTTAATACACAGAACTTAATTTTTGCACCGCATACATATATTGTAGAATAAAAGTACAAAAACATTCTATAATAATTCGATCATAAGAAATCCATTTATGCTCCGATTATCACACACACAGATCGTAAGATATATATTTAAGATGTTAAAATACTATCTTGACCCGAAAATATACTCATGCCAATAATGGTTGTCGCCCCCTTCCATTTTTTTAATTGGAGAGGGGTTGTGGGGTGGGCGTGTGTGGGCTTGGGGTAGGGAGGGGGTGACAACCATTATGGGCATGAGTATATTTATAACCTAGTTTTTATTTCTGAAGTATGGTTACACGGTGTCTGAAGGAACATTCATAGGAGGTGGGGTGGGTGGGGGTTGTACTTTTGAATCGCGCGTAATGTCGTCCGTTAGTAAAATGTGTTTAAATATGATGCTGTTATGGTAGTACTAGGGTAAGAAAATGTTTCTCTCTGAGCGTTGGTCAAGGCTCAAGACAAGTTGGATCCCTTTTTCATTTGATCGGAATTTCTGTGGACATATTTGTTGTTGCGCCCATTGTGCGATTCTGACCACATCATGAGTATGTGTTCATAAAACAATATCAAATAGGAATAATATCAAAATAGGAATAATATCAAATAGGAATAATATCAAATAGGAATAAAAGAGGTATAAATTAACTTACCCCACCGATCAAAACCCTCAAATACACAGAAACAAAACAAGTCAGCATTTAACCTTTTAACATATTGCAGAGGTCCATGTTTGGAATAACATCAGACATTATTGACATCTTCGGGTCATTGATATGTCAGATTAGAAGCCTGGAACATATCTACCATAACTGATATGGGAAGACTGACCTACAAAAGAATGTACACATGGTGTTTGGGAAGTTTTAATAACAGAAACAAAGTAAATATTATTAAAAGTGTTCTGATTGTGACTTCAAGTCACAAACATTGTGTACATGTTGTGTAAAGAACACAGCTATACTTCACAGCACTGTGGGTGGATATTATGAAACTCATGATTTTTGCTGTGTAAAGAACACAGCTATCCTTCACAGCGCTGTGGGTGGATATTATGAAACTCGTGATTTTTGCTGTGTAAAGAACACAGCTATCCTTCACAGCACTGTGGGTGGATATTATGAAACTCATGATTTTTGCTGAAGCATGCTGCCATGTTATGCGTCAACAGCATGAAACATAGTCGCATGACATTGTAGGGTATAAGCGTTTATTGGACACAGCAAAATGGCAAGAATATAAGCAGCGGAGCCAGAACGAGCTTTTAGAATATCACAAATGGGCTTTTCGATCTAGTATCTTACACCCAAATTTTGGTCAGTTATCAAACACTGAACAAGCTACATTCCTCTTACAAACAGAAATTATTGATAATCCACTGGCCGCTTTAGTTAGCCGTATGTATCGGCGTAAGCTATCATCCCTATAAAGTTTCTTTCTTTTTCCTTAGGTCTTTCATATGTGTGATACTTCTTAATGTTTTAATCTTATATTTTATACATTTTATGCACATATTGTCTAGTGTGTCTCATTGGCCATCTGGCCTGGTGTCTGTATTTTTCTATGTCTTTTTACCGTTGCCATTTTTGACATGTACATTCACGTGACACATAAATAAACTATTTTGTCTGTCTGTCTGTCTGTCTGTCGTATTGATAGAACGTTTGGCGGCACAAATCAGGGCATTTTAAGACTGAGGATAACCTACCAGACTGGTCCCAGTCACATCATCAACACCAACAGCATTGGATCACCGCATCAGCAAAAACACAGTGATGAAACGACTGCATACTGCCGATCATTTCAGAGCATGTCATCCACCAGTCAACATGGACTTAGTCGTCTACGTAGGAGTCTGGGGCAACGTCACGTCTGGGTTCGATATCTCTAGAGTTTACGTAACATTTACACAATGTTTGCGACTTATAAGTCACAACAAAACCACTTTTAAAATATTTACCCCATGTCGTTGTGTGGAAAATTATCCCAAAGCACCAAGTGTGTACTTTATTCTTTACATCAGTAAAGGGGGCATGGTGGGCGAGCTGGCTAAAGCCCACCTGTGACCGGGTGTAAAAACCTTGGAGTCAAATTTGTGTGCAGAGTCTTTCAGTGTTGTCACAACCCCTAGTGTACAGTACACAAACCGTGTGCACTTAAACGAACCCACGAATCCGTTGGTATATGACCAGATGTTGGCCACATGAATACGTGCAAACACCTAGTTGCGGGTACAGCAACGTGCAGTAAACTTGGACAAAATACTGTCACTATGTGTCCAAGTCCACCCAGCTTTGAATGGGTACCTCATACGGATGGGAAAGCCGCAATAACTCGGTGCGCCTAGTGGCTGCAAGAGTTGTATGATCCCCGGAGTTGAGATTGATAATAATATGTGCCGTTGAGATTGACATCCAATGGTCGAGGGAAAAACTACCAGCTCCTTGAACATACACTAGTGCGTGGATATGTGCGCTATATAAATAATACAATAATAAATAAAATATTTATTCCCTGATTTTTGCAGACCTTAAAAATATCTGTTGTGCAGCCATTTGGTATGAATGATTAATAGAGGGGTAAACTAATTAAAATGTATTACCGCAAACGTCGGGTCTGCTTTGACAGACTTGTCGGCATAGCAATCCGTGTAATTTGTCCACGTCTCATTGTAGATGGGGTTAACGAACCACTCCCCGTTGTCTGTACACGTCCGGGTGGCACGTCCTGAAAGTATAAGCCAAGCATGGCAAAATAGTGAGATACGGTTGATAGGACTTTAAGATACCATACCCTACAGCATTACAATATTATTTAATAATTGCAAAATGACATAACCTTTTGTTTTAAAGTTCGACTTGACAGAAAATTGATGAAAACAGCTTAGTGTATACTCAATAAATTTAAATAAATATAAAACCTCTTTTATGAACACCACACTCATCGACACATATCTGATCATATTAGAACAACGTCAGCGGTGGGTTAGCCTAGAGGTCAAAGCGTTCGCTCGTCACACCGAGGACCCGGGTTCGATTCCCTACATGGGTACAATGTGTGAAGCCCATTTCTGGTGTCCCCGCCGTGACGTTGCTTGAATACTGCTAAACGCGGCATAAAACTACACTCACTCTCTCACTGATATGTGACGGAAGTGTGAAGAGCAATCTACCTTTCTATTGCAAAATAAGATGCTCTTTTATAACTTTCAAACCAGAATTTCAATTAAGGGGAACAGGCTTAGTTTACGTTTGATCAGCGTACACTTGCCCTGTTTTCGTAAATAACTGCAAATTCTACAAAATAGGACGATGTCCTGAACTAAGAAGTGCTGCTAAATTTAAACATCTCGACAAGCGGATACATCATCGAAGAGGAAATGGTTCGTTACATCAGACTACCGGCGTCTCTCCCTACATCTCTTCATCAGAGAGCGTGTATGTTTTTTGAACGATATAACCACATATAAACAATCTCGAGCGCTGCTCCATCTCCTTCTTTATATGTGTTACTCGCTTCATCATTCGTCCCTGCACATTCTTACCCAAATTCCATCCTGTCTCATGTGTTCATTGTTAGTGCTGGGGGTGATTGTAGCGGTTAAAGCGTTCGCTCGTGGGGCCGAAGACCCAGGATCCATTTTTCGCTAGGGTAGTAATTGTGAAGCCCATTTCTGTTGTTCCCCGTTTTGATATTACTGGAATATTGCTAAAAGCGGCATAAAGCGTTATTCACTCACTCACTGTTCATCGTACGCCTGACTAACCTTGTAAGTTAAATCCGTGTACATATTTTGCACATGGCTGTTCTACGACTTCCCCTGCTCTGGTAGGAGGCCAACACATCAGGTCATCCCAGGTCCGGTTGCAATGAGGACCTGGAGTTTAAAGACAAGTAAAACATCATTACATGGTTATCAAGGTAGGTCGAAGTAATGGTAATAGTAATATAGAATAGTAATAGTCCGCTTACATATCCAGGAACATTGCCTGCTCCGGGCGCTACGTACATTATAGGTCATAGGAACACCACCGTTCTATCCGATACTTTTTCAACTCCCTGGGGATCATACAGCCATGCTGCCAGTTACCCAATGCACTAAACACTCATATTGCCAGCAGATCCTCACGGGTACCCATTTTACAGCTGGGTGAACTGAAACAATGTTGATCTAATTATCTTGTCCAAGGATAGTACGCAAATGTGCCCACCTCTGGACACGAACCTAGGTGCCTCCACCGGGGATCGAACCCCGGCCTTCAGCGAGATAGGCAGACGCCTTACCACTGCACTATTGCGGTTGAAATCGGTAATGGGGTGGGGTGTGTATGATGGATGGGTGTGTGTCTGAGTGTGATGCCTATGACTGTGTGTTTACTATAATGAATGTGTGTGATGATGTGTGTGTGATGATGTGTGTGTGATGATGTGTGTGTATGCATGATGGATATTTGTGAGTGCATGTAGGATAAATATGTGTATGCATAATGGAAGTGCATGATGGATGTCTGTGTGCGCATATGTATGCTGTATGTTTGTATGTGTGCAGGTTTGATGGATATTTAATTTGTGCCTATGTGTTCTTTTCTTGGTCATAATTTGCGCCTGTTTTAACATGATCCAATGATCCAATCATAGATACAATTACAGCGTCATCAGAAACGTAAACGTATGACCAAATGGAATATGCGCCTGTTTGTCGAGAGTTGTCCATAGGGAGCCGGAAGTGGCCGATTAAAGAGAGGCATAGAGACACAAATCTCTTCCGTGGAAGTTGTTTGGTTCGGTTAGAGAGTGGTCATTGAGTGGACCAATGAATCCTACTTGGTAGGGATAGCATTACCTTAGAATAACAACTAGTCTCTGAAAATGAACATATTTTACTGAAAAAAGTTCATAGTAAAAAAGAATATAATATAATGAAAAGGAGCCCTGCTGAGGAAATCTAGACTTGCGTGGGCTTTCTTGGATATATTTGCTTCAGGGTCTGTACGACAGACTAAGCATTACCTGTGAGCGTGGACTTCTCGTACAGCGTCTGTTGAAGGCATTTGACATGGGCGAGCGTGATTTGACGGTGTTGTTCTTCAGGACCGATAATTACTCGGTTCTGGAAACAGAAACAAACATAATATGAGTGAGGGGTATGTGGGGCCTTATTCAATCGCACAGACACATACACATGTACACCAACATATATCAACACATACTCACTGGATTGTCTGGTCCAGATTCGATTATTTACAGACCGCCACCATATAGCTGGACTATTGTTGAGTGCGACGTAAAACTAAACTCACTCACTCACACATATTCAGTTAAGCTCATATACACAGATACATACACGGCCATACAACCCCATACACACATGCACACAAATTGCACACATGCACGTATTCATACCCATACGCTTACGCATGCACGCTCATGCACAAATAAACATACGTACACATACACACATATAAACATAGACACTAACACAGCGATACGTGTTGATTCTCAAACCGGAAACGAGTCCGTGGAAGAGCAGGATGTGAAACCCGCAAACATTAAACACATGTAAGGTAATTAAAAATGAAATTATAAACTTAGCGTAAATGCTTTTTTATCGGTCCTCTGTGATTGATTGTATATACATGTACATCTCTGGCTTCCTGTAAACCTGGTGTGTGTGTGTGTGTGTGTGTGTGTGTGTGTGTGTGTGTGTGTGTGTGTGTGTGTGTGTGTGTGTGTGTGTGTGTGTGTGTGTGTGTGTGTGTGTGTGTGTGTGTGTGTTGTGTGTGTGTGTGTGAGAGAGAGAGAGAGAGATTGAAACATATTTTATTCAATTAAGGAACGGATTGGGCACAAGTTATCCAACTTAAATAAGCCCTCTCCGCATAGTTACAAGTGTATATTACAAAAAAGTTCAACACGAGGCAGACAAAGGGTATAGATATGTACAGACAGAGTTATTTATTTATTTATTGTCTGTCTCTCTGTGTGTGTGTCTGTGTGTCTCTGTGTGTGTGTCTCTGTGTGTGTGTGTCTGTGTGTGTGTCTGTGTGTGTGTGTGTGTGTGTGTGTGTGTGTGTGTGTGTGTGTGTGTGTGTGTATGTTTTCTACATCTGTCTTTAATCACCTGAAGAAGGGGCAAGAAGTAGCCCAAAACGTCGTGTTACACAATGAAGAAGAAATTGCCATCCATATACTCGTCTTATGAACTTAACTAACTTCAGTAATCAATACAGATCACTACAGAGGTATCACTATGGGAGGACACAAATGTTTGGCAGTACAAACTCACTGCTCATATTATATAAACACAGTGATTATAGTAATAACAAACTAGTGGTGATATTCAGCTCTCAGAAACAGTAAACCGATGTTGGAGGAAGAGGCTAGATTGTCCCAGTTTAGACCGTGTTCTAAATACTGGTGTTCATTCTTATATACACAAGATACCAGAACATTCTGTACAAACGCAGATCAAGCCATGATATCATGTGAGAGAGTGAGTGAGAGTTTTGTCCAGTATTATCAAGGTGGGGGACACCAGAAATGGGCTTCACACATTGTGGCCATGTGGAGAACGGAACTCCGGTCTTCGACGTGACGAGCGAACGCTTAAACCAGTAAGCTACCCCACCGCCCTGATAATCTGTGGGTTAGAACACAGAGGTAGCCTCTAGAATTAAATTTTGTCTGCATATACCAACCACACACACACACACACACGCACGCACGCACGCACGCACGCACGCACGCACGCACGCACACACACACACACACCACTGAATCTACAGGTTCAAAGTAGAACAGTTGAGACACTGTTGCCCAGGGCATAACACTGTCCTAGCATATACACCACCACTAGCATATACACACATACATATTCACCCAAACATATATATACACACTAACAGACCTTCACAAACATACGTAAATACACATTCTCAGGCAGGACGCAAACACATACACATACAAATACACACATACGCTGAGACACTAACACATATACAGATACACTTAGGCTGACGCAAACGCACCTACACAGTAACATACATACACACGCATTTGCATAGGCAGACACAGATATACGCATACACACTAACATACATACGCATACACAATCAAGCGATCCGGCTTATACAAGATATTCCCAATTACCGCAAATTATATACATGTAATCAGTAATGAGTAAGTGGGATGTCAGTAATTCGCCAGTAAGTGGGGTGGTTTGACGCTTGTTTAAACAGTAACGTGGTTATATCGCGGGAGGTGAGCTTAATGTGGAAGGAAAGCCCGAAGCCCGAAGTGGTGAAATACACGAGCTCTGGTTGGTACTGACACACCTTAGTTGCGAACCTGCTGACAAACCTAGTGGCGAACCTGTTGACAAACTTAGGGGGAACCTGTTGACAAACCTAGGGAGAACCTGTTAACAAACCTAGGGGGAACCTGTTGACAAACCTAGGGGCGAACCTGTTGATAAACCTAGGGGGAACCTGTTGACAAACCTAAGGGCGAACCTGCTAACATGGTAGGGTGAACCTGTTGATAAACCTAGGGTGAATCTGTTGATAAACCTAGGGTGGATCTGTTGATGAACCTAGGGACGAACCTGCTTAAAAAACAAACCTAGGGGCGAATCTGTTGACAAACCTAAGGGGGACTTGCTGACAAACTTAGAGGCGACAAACCTAGGGGCGAACCTGTTAACAAACCTAGGGGCGAACCTGCTGACAAACCTAGGGGCGATCCTGCTTAAAAAACAAACCTAGGGGCGAATCTGTTGACAAACCTAGTGTGTGTGTGTGTGTGTGTGGGGACTTGCTGACAGACTTAGAGGCGACGAACCTAGGGGCGACCCTGCTAACAAACCTATGGTAAAACTGTTGACAAACCTAGTGTGAACATGTTGAGAAACCTAGGGGCGAGCCTGCTAAAAAACAAACCTAGTGACGAATCTGTTGACAAACCTAGGGTGAAACTGTTGACAAACCTATGGGGAACCTGTTGACAAACCTAGGGGCGAACCTGCTAACATGGTAGGGTGAACCTGTTGATAAACCTAGGGTGAACCTGTTGACAAACCTAGGGTGAACCTGTTGACAAACCTAGGGGCGAACCTTGTAAAAACAAACCTAGGGGCGAACCTGTTGGCAAACATAGGGTGAACCTGTTGACAAACATAGGGGGAACCTACTGACAAACCAAGGGTGAACCTGCTGACAAACCTAGGGTGAACCTGTTGACAAACATAAGGAGGGAACCTGTTGACAAACATAGGGGGAACCCACTGACACCACATATCCCGACTTTGGTCGTTATTTATCATAGTAACTGAAGTGTCTGCAATGCTCCATTATTACCAGGATGCCGGCATAGATTGGACAGCTGCTGAGTGCGGCATAAAGGAAGAAGCATTCACTCCATCCCTTTTATATCATCTAATTTAACTCATAATTTATTGTAAATACAGAAATACTTGGAGAAGAAGATATATATCCAGCAATGAAATAGCGTCTAGTAATAGGATATAGGTGAAATAGAGCGATCCCTTTTATCTCATCTAATCAAACCCATAACGTATTGCAAATACAGAAATACCTGAAGTAGAACTATATCCAGTAGTAAAATGGCGTCCAGTAAAATGATACTCAGAGGATGTGAGTTCTCTCGAGAATCCCACACAAAACTAAACTAGGTTCTGCTATCCCTGTCGACCGCCAGTCCATGGGTTATCTGCCGTCCACTCGTTCTACGACATTCGTCATTGAAGTCCAATCTGTATGTAACCAGCAATGAGCGAGTGGGTAGCCTTAGCGCCGCTCTTACCAATGTCCACTCATACCACGGCGTGGACTGGTGGGAGGAAAGCCGGAAGATGCAAGTCTCAGACCTTTACGAGTAATAAGTACAAGTATATCCTGGTTTCAAGTGATCATGACCAGCGCATATTTATCTAAATACCACTTTGAAAACATCATTCAGCGTATCTCAACATGATCAATGGTCTCCCCGGGGTTTTTTTTTCTATTGAGTAGATAGGAGAGAGCACTTCTACTGGCGGGAGAGCAGACACGTGACGCGTGCGTTATTCTGTGTGGGACTGTTCCCAGCATCCGTCTCCATCTTCGGATTAGGCTCCAAGTCTCCAAGTTACCATAGTTACCTTCTTAGTTTGTTAAAAGTTTCATACTTAATAAATATTTCTGTACATATACTCATGCCAATAATGGTTGTCACAACCCTTCCCCCAACCCCCACACTTCACACACCCACCCACACACCCTCTCCAATTGAACAAATTGAAGGGGGTGACAACCATTATTGGCATGAGTATATAAGGCCACATCACATCACTTTTTCCGAAAAATATGGGTCGGGCGGACGGATTTATTTTTACATTTTAATTTATTTTATGTCTAAACACCTTGATTTCTGTTGAAATTTACACCTTTTCTCCGACAAAAAATGAAAACTTAGATGTGTGAAAAGTTCATGCATATTTTGAGAGTCAAAGCATTTTTCTTATGTAAAAGATATATTTTAAAAATCTCAGGTCGAGATGTGGGTCGGGCTGTAAAGAAGATTTTTGTATATGGCCTAACATTGACTTCGATTAGATAGCACTCAGCAATATTCTAGTATATGACGCGAGGCTATGAATAATCGAGTGTTATCTAGAGAATCCAGTCATTGGTATTCTGAACAGCGATCGCCGCCGAGAAGTCGATGCCATCAAACAGGTCAGCGACCCCAACCACCTGATCCATGTAGTCACTACTTAAACCCGATGGTGTTTCTACGTTTGGCAGTGCCAATCCTGTACTCGTGTGTGCCATCAAAGTGGTACACGTCTGACATCTTCATCACTACAGGGCTTCATCCCGCATTAAGCTGACACACAGTGATGTAACTGGAATACTTTTAAGAGCGGGGTTAAGTGCAACTAGCTCACTTGTCTCAGAATTGTCTCCGAAACTTAAACCAACGGGCTATCTGTCTAGTTTCTTTCTTCTATATATTCTGTTTAGGCTTACTAAATTATTAGCAACCGAAAAATATTTATTTTTTAAAATTTCAGTTAAAGTTTTGTTTTCAGTATTCAGACTGTGTCACTAGTTTGAGTGAGTGAGTGAGTTAATATGTAACGTCACATCGGCAATATCTCAGCCATATCGTGACGAAGTCGCTAGTTTGAACATAGCACGGCACATCAACACTACACCAGAATTATCTCATTCAGTCATTCATTAAAACCCGAAAACCATTTCCCTCGGAAATGCTACGATTTCGTGATTATCCTGTCGTTATAATTATTTTTTTTTAAACCAAAAGAGAGTATATCAATTTTGAATTTGCTTCATTGTTTGTTTGTTTGTTGTTTAACGCCGCATTTAACAATATTCCAGCTATAGGACGGAGATCTGTAAACTATCTAAATGATCGAATCTGCACCTGACAACCCAGTGATCAACAGCATGGGCATGGATCTACGCAGTTGGGCTACGATGACATGTGCCAACAAATTAAGTCAGGGAGCCTGATAACCCAATTCCGTTAGTCGCCTCTAACGACAAACATGGGTTGCCTAAAACCAATTCTAACCCGAATCTTCATGTGTCTTAAGTATGTGTGAAACACATTCCATAGCGCAAGAGTCACAACATACATGAACAGATGATTGAGCATTAGTTATAAATAGGAAATCTGCAAAATTCTGCAATCTGTATTATGTGCCTAATCTCTCCCAAAATATGATCCGAACAGTTAATATCTACAGTCACTAAAACCTACTTGTTTTGGTCATGACAAGCTAGAAAGGAAATTTGACCTCGTGATATACTTCTTTAGTTGTTTATGCATGGTTGTGCATTTATACACGAATAACTGAGACTAAAAGACTTACAAATATAAAAGGAGGGGGAAGATATTTATGCCTATGAGTAAGATATTCTTAAAATCTTATCAATCGTGCGCCCCGCCCGGAGAGCGCAAGATCGCGGGTTCGATCCCCGACCGCGTCATACCAAAAGACGTTAAAATATGGTACTTGTTGGTCCCTGCCTGGCGCTCGGCATTACTGGGTACATCAAGGACTGGTCGGCTCGGAGTCAGTATAATGTGTCTGAGTGGGGTATTCATGCTTCACTGCGGCATGGCATCTCAGTGGGCCAGCACTATAAAACCAGCTTAAGTCTGGGCTAGTACAAGCAGCCGTACATACACATACACACGCATGCACGTCGTCATATGAGCTAAATGTTCTCAAGTACGACGTTAAACCCAATTTCACCTCACCTCACCTCAATCGTGCGCACGTATACCCTGTTTATGCTTGACCATGATGACTTGCATGTTTACAAATCAACACCTGTACATCAGTGTTATGTTGTCAGTTCAGAGACTGCATTGCTGTGTAATGGATGACATGTTGAATGACAAGTAAACATGATGTCTCCTGCTGAAGACGTTAAAGGCGTTCATGTGATGACGTCGTCTAAGATTTTGACGTCGTAGTTACAGGTCTCGAGCATCATGCCTGTAAACATCGTATACGTACGGGTTCAGATCCCAGATACACACAGATAATCATTCATATTATTACTCGCCCGTGGAAGATACTGCAGTGTAATATTTTTACAGCAATATTATACTAGTGTAATACCGCTAGGCGTATGATGTCATAATGGTTTACAGTTATGCCGTCACAATGCTAATACCTTGGTAACAATGGTATTAGACCTTGTTTGACTCGTGGAAACCTGAAAGTCATCACACTACGTAAGCAGTTTCTATCAATTTATGTTTGAGAGTAATAAACAGAATACTAAACTCGCTTCCGTGTAATACCATTTTTATTAAACGAGTTAAAGATTTGGTATCAAACAAGCGAAAGCGAGTTAAAGATTTGGTATCAAACGAGCGAAAGCAAGTTTGATGCTAAATCTTTCACGAGTTAAATAAAGATGGTATAGCACGGAAGGTCGTTTAGTATCCTCAATATATGTCAGTATTATACCCAGGTTTGTATAGAGTGAGGTAAACTTTTACGTCGAGTCAGCATTATTTCAGCTACATACATACATACACAATTTAGGTCAAAAGTTTAATAGTGTTCCTTAAATTACATATTTCTTCATTACAGTATCGGATGGGTGGCCATGAGTTTCTAGGACTTCAGTCCTGCCCCACAACAAAGCATGTGTCATACATGTGGATTTACCTTAGGCAAGTGAGTTTCTATAAACTGTCTCTTATCTCCCAGCATAAACTGGGTATCGGGTGAAATAATAATTTTAACCTTCTAGCGCCTAACAGGCAACTTGGATTATCCGGGTAATAATGATCAGACTGTGCGCTTTGAGTTGGATATATAGGCTGGAAAAGGCGTGTTATAAATATTCTCATTATTATTATTATTTACAAATTAAAACGTCATAATACCGTATTTAACAACAGGCAATTTGTCATACGCAATATATAGCTACAATTTATGGTACCTGTTTGTAGGCTTCGATACAACGTTAATCGTCAAAGGTTCATTCACTCTAAATACAGCATTAGACTTGACATATGGCCTTACAACCTTATGTAATAGATCAGCTAACAAGAAGTACAGCCCACCTACACATGTCCTTACCTAGTTATAAGACACGGGAATAAACACATTACCTTCGCAACTGTGACAAAGGACGCTAATCCTGGTATTTATAAAACATTTCCAGCAAACATTAACGTTGGGAACAAACTTCGGGATATAGCTAGTCTATGTAAAATCGTTGTTGGAGAGATAAAACTTTTAGATGCATAAAGAGTCACATATTTCCAAAATTGGACATTTGCCTTTCTTAACGATCTGCACATAATGGACTAATATTTACACCTGGTGAAATTAAAAACCTTTCAAGTGTGTCGACTGCATAAAATAGCAGCGTAAAAACATAAATGATCGTATGCATGTTATACAACAGAGGTGTTTATTGGAATTGTGTAAGACGGGGATATATAATTATGTATGATATGTATATACGTTATATAGCAAGGCCCCCGTTTGAACAGCATGGTTGACAGTAAATATAGGTATGTATGTCATCCAACAAGGTCGCCTATTTCAAATGTAATGAAGGTAAAACACAAATTTGAGCTCGTTACCAAACAAGGTCCCCTATTTTAAACCCATACATTTTGCAAAGACACGTACACTATAAAACATGGTCACATATTTGTAATGCATAGTCATGTGGGCTATCCTACAAGTTCACCTATTGGAAATGCAACATATTAATTTTATATATGTATGTATGTATGTATGTATGTATGTATGTATGTATGTATGTATGTATGTATGTATGTATGTATGTATGTATGTATGTATGTATGGATGGATGGATGGATGGATGGATGGATGGATGTATGGATGGATGGATGGATGGATTATATAATTCAGTTGCAATGCACAGACGATATAAAGGTATGTATCTTATTCCATAAGCACGCCCAATAGAATTGCATAATCGATAATATATAAAGGTACAGAAATCATCCAAAAAGATCGCCTATTTGAAATAAATAGCGAATATATGAAACTGTGTGTATGCTATTCGAAAAGGCCGTCTATGTTAAATACATAGTAGACATATAAAGGTACTTATTCTATTTTACACTGTTGTTTATTTGAAAAGCATGCGTATTTATAAATGTACGTATATTGTCTAACAAATTCGTGTTTTAAAGCATTGGCAATACATGAAATTGTATAGACTTTACCAGATGTTTGTTACACGTGGAATATAACAATCTGTGGTTTATCGGTATTTTCCGAACCAGTGACAGAGCACATAGTTTGTTACCATTTTGTACACGCTCAAATGAAATTAACTTTGTTCAAGTTCTTTGTGAAAACCTCTAAAATCAGTAACAATTTTAACATTGCATAATCTTATAGATTAAATCTAAGCGCGAAACACGTTAAATAAGACGAAGAGATTTCCTTTGATGTTATAATGTGACAGTCATTTTTAAATCATTGTTGAAGTAATCACTGAATCAATATCACATGTTTTATGTAGGTAATGACCTTGTGTACAGACTCTTTCCGTGTTGTCACAACCCCTAGTGTACAGTACACAACCCTGTGCACTTACAGAACCCACGAGCCCGTTGGTAAACGACCAGATGGTGGCCACATGAATACGTGAGAACACCTAGTTGCGGGTACAGCAACGTGCAGTGAAACTTGGACAAGTACTGTGACTATGTGTCCCAGTCAATCCAGCTATGAATGGGTATCTCGTAAGGATAAGAAAGCCACATTATTTTGGTACGCCTAAATGACTGCAAGCGTTGTATGTTTTCTTAGGGAGTTGAGCTTGAAAATACGATGTGCCGTTGAGATTGAAATTAAATGATCGAGGGGAAAAACAAAAGCCCTTTGAGGGGATTGACTATATAGCGCTATATAAATACTCATGTAATAATTATAACAGCAGGGAGCTAACTGTAAGATTAGACAACTATGAATCCATTGTGACCTCATGTAGAACCCGGGTTGCGACATGTGTGCTCGTTAACTTACCGCATGGCGAATGTCCGTGGAAACACAAGCATTAAGAATGTAGAAAGCGTCTACCTACCTGTTCCCCTCGGTAGAGGAGCTCTAGCACCTCCATCAGTGAGTTGCTGTTATTCATCCATATGTCCCACGAGCACCTGCCGAAAGAAGACGGCGTGGGTTAATGGAACTGACACTGACATATGTATGCATCCTGGAGAAGACAATCCATTGATCTTCCTATGTTTGCTGATAACGACAAGCGTTCCGAAGCCATTAGTGTTGAAACTTAACTACACAGATGAACGATATATATCCTCTTTCCGGGCGCGTAGGCGATGGCGCTAAGCCCTGAATCAGGATAAATAACAGAGACACTTGCTTAGGGTATTTTTGACGTGTGCGGGGTAAAGACGTTAAAGGTGTAGTGAATGTTTGTACATTTATAGAGTATAGTACTTAGCATATTTACTCTAACTACCGAAGCACTAAACTGGTGTTTAACTTCTTGCGCGATTCCGGTATGATGAAATCTCGCCAGCCCCCGTAGTATCAAATGTCTCAAAATCAATACAATGCGGGTTTTTTCTCCAAAATCAGTTTAAAGAAACCACAACATATTTGAACACATAAACACTGTGGCCAGTTCATCAGCCTCATCCAGGCTTGTGTTACTGTGAGCGTTGTAAGAACATGTGTGAGACGGTAGTCTGTAACTTGGTCTGGAAAGCGGAGAATATTCAGGACTTTGGAATATGTAATCAATTTATCGAATTATAATATAATGCACATCCCCCTCTGCCGAGCGTGGGGTATACGTAGGCGCAATGGGCATCACAACACTTGTTGACTGGTATCCGGTACTGTTTTGCGCTGTGTCACTTTAATCTTAAACAGAGACATATTGTTGACATGATCTCATTCGAGGACAGAATGTTATTTTTATATTTTCTTTATCGACCGATATCTTCGCAGAGGTAACAAAAAATGCAAAACGAGCTCATTCAAATATATAGAGACAACATACGAGATTTCTCAGAAAGCATGAGGGGCGGCGGGGTAGCCTAGTGGTTAAAGCGTTGGCTCGTCACGCCGAAGACCCGGGTTCGATTCCCCACATGGGCACAATGTGTGAAGCCCATTTCTGGTGTCCCCCACCGTGATATTGCTTGAATATTGCTAAAACCGGCGTAAAACTAAACTCAGTCAGTCAGAAAGCATGCCAGTTGTTATAACTACAGTACCAGGTGTTGACAATGACAGGGACCTTGTTCTGTTTATACCACATTACGTTACTAGAATTATAAGAGTGTTCCAGTTCACAGTGGGCAGAGCGATTGAGTTTAGTTTTAGGCCGCCTTTGGCAACATTTCAGGAATATCACGGCGGGGGGACACCAGAAATGGACTTCACACATTGTACCCGTGTGGGGAATCGAACCCGGGTCTTCGGTCTGACGAAAGAACGCTTTAACCACTGGGCTACCTAGGTAGAGAAACTAAACAAGTCGCATGATGATAACATGGTGTATCTCTGGCACTCGGCATTATTGGGTACAACAAGGACTGGTCGGCTCGGAGTCGTGTCTGAGTGGGGTATTCATGCTTAACTCAGTGAGCTAGCACTATGAAACCAGCTTATGTCTGGGCTAGTACAAGCAGCCGCACATACACATACACACGCTTGCACGTCGTCATATGAGCAAAATATTCTCAAGTAAGACGTTAAACCCCATTTCACCTCACCTCAGACTTAAACTACATGGTCGCAGTTAAGGTAGGATAACATGGATCAGTCTCCCAAAGCAATAACACAAATCATAAGGAATATATAAGAAATCGATATTTTTCAACCTCCATCACTGCATGCACATGTTGTTTCTAGAGTTACGTCTGTGAGGGAAGATACGTCGATCATTTCAATAATTCCATTATTATTTACAGTATTTGGTATCCTCCAGTGTATCCATGTCAAAAATATAATGTGTATTTATAATATTTTATGTATTAATGAAATATGTATTATGCTCGACAGAGAATCGCATCTTGCAAATTATTCACTTTTTTAGGTGTAGGATATTCATCTATATACTCTAACAGAGGTATCAGATGATGATCATATATCACTTCAAATGACATGACAAAAGTCAATGCGACTTAATAATTGCAACTTTCGCCTCATTCTGCCGTCGGGTGAAATATTGTGCCTCTTAATTTTGGTTGAGAAGTACTAACAAATGTAGAGTACGCTGTGTGAGTGAGTGACTGCGTGCGTGCGTGCGTGTGTGCGTGCGTGAGTGAGTGAGTGAGTGAGTGAGTGAGTGCGTGAATGAGTAGAGTTGTGTGTGATTGAATGCGTGTGTGAGTGTGATTGAGTGTGTGATTGAATGCGTGTGTGAGTGAGTGCGTGCATGCGTGCGTGAGTGCGTGAGTGAGTAGAGGTCGTTGTGTGTGAGTGTGTTAGTGAGTGAGTGAGTGCGTGAGTGAGTGAGTGAGTGAGTGCGTGAGTGAGTGAGTGTGTGAGCACGAGAAACATAGTCAGAACAAAACGGCTTTCGAACCCTCAGTCCTAGGATCCTTGCCTACCCAAGAGACGTAATTCTCCACAGCAATTACTGAAACCTCAGACGACTGTCTCCCATCTCCCCTTTACTAGGAACTGTTTTGAGAAGATAATTCGTTATTCCTGAAAATACCTAACCCACCTAAAACAACATTCTCATTGCAATGGAGAATAACGACATTTTGCGCCGTGTTAGATACAGGTTTAGCTAACATCTAAGCACCCGTGTAAGCCATGATTCAACAGTGTCATGATGAATCATTGGTTTTATATAAATCAAATTTGGAATTGTTTCAGGCATCATACCTCAGACAAGACTACGATACGATTCTGAATATTCGCCAGAAATGGAAATGCAGATCACGTGGCCTATGTCGACGTCCCTTTGGCACGTACGAAACAGTTGGACATGGGTTCGAATCCAAGCTCCACATCTGAATATGTCCCCTTCATTGACTGTACAAGTGACCCATTTCACCAAAGAATGAAAACTGTAAAATTCCTTTCTTATGTGCATCATTTCTGAATGTCATTCAAAACTTAATCTTTCTTCTCACTTTACATTGTTACGAAATGAAATAGCATAAGTTTTTTTAGTTCAAATCAGCATCAATCAAACTACTATAAATCCGTGTTCGAGACACAAAAACAGAGTACCAACAAATTCATGCGTCATACCAGCTCCAGAGCGTCCTTGTGCGACATCAAGACCTACGCACATTTCCTATGGTAGCCGTCAGTTAACCCCCTGCTACGTATAAAAGTCCAATATACCAAGGGGACGCGTATGTGTCATCATTAGTGACGATGGTACTTCATCTCCTTTACCCCCGCTGCGATCCACCCCCGGCGATGTCGTTGAAGGATGATGGTGTCACAGTGTGTACATGTATATAACATATACTCCATGACTGATCGATAACGACACCCACTGATGCGACAGACAGTATTTCACAGTTACATAAAGTATGTTTCTTTCATTACGAATAGCTCATATAAAGAAAGTTGTGGTTTGAGAACGCCTGTCAGACTGACATTATTGTCAAAAACATCGGAACCGTCTAATGTCAAAATATTAATCTCATTTGAAGATTTCATGGTACATCAGACTATAAATATAAATTAACATAGGGACGGAATACCATAACTGTATTTCTGCTCAAGGCCAAGACTGTCGAATATCATTATATTAATCTCACTGGAAGATCTGACACGTTACAAGTACATTTGACTGTAAATGGACTTTGCTCGGAATACCATCACTGCTTAAATTTCTCATGTCTGTCCTAAGGACAGCTTCCTGGTGTAGGAAACAGGTGTCAGTCAGTTATCTAGCAATGCATTATAAGAAACTTTGACAGTAACCGGCAGAACAAACAAGGATGCCATTTCACAGGCCATTGTGTGTCGTGGACACTTCACAGACGGCCTTGGAATATTTTTACAGAACACAGTTTCCATTTGACACTTTCCTGATGTGAAGATGACCGTGTGCGCTTGTCCGATACAGCACATGTACGTACAATTGAACGTTTCAGTCAACAACATACAGTCTACGTAATGTCAGCTATAAACTTGCAAACACTCGTAGATTTAATAACCCTTTGCTCATCAAATTCAGTATCATTCAGTTTTTTTTAAACCTCGCAAATAACGTAAATCGAAGCGTTATTTTAAGAACGGTTTTTCTTATGAAGTGGTCATAATAATATATTGTTTGAAAGTTATTATTTGAAATACAACTCCAATGTACATTCGGTCGACTAACATTGAAATCACACTTAACTGTAACATGAGTGAAAACTGTGCATTATGCATTGGAAAAGTTCGTGACTACTCTCAATAGTCACGATTACTATAGCATATTTCAATATATCTAACATGATAAATATATGAATCCTATACTTCCATCCGTTCCGCTAGACAAAACCAAACACGCACCATCAATGGAATAGTTCGTTAAGCACGCATGTCGCGTACGTCGCTACCATCAATAAACTTCACTTGGTTTCGTCTTTGGAGACAAGATGATGGAGTGTGAGGACAGATCCCACATGTATCTTGGTACAGAGCCATACAAACATGCCACATAATCACCGAAACTACAATCATTGTTGAACGTATATTTGCGATAGAATGTATGAGTATAGATACAACTTCTTAAATACTGTCACCATGATTACTCTTGTTACTAACAGGCGGTGTTTCTGTTCAGATATATATTTAATAACTGGTTTAGTAATTATGGTCAGTTATCCTCCACTGATCCTTGCGACTGCAATAAGCAGCGAGGGTGTGTCCAAAGTTTCATTCCTTACACTGGAGCTGAGCTGTATCACACCATGTCATAACGACATGCTAATAACAGCGTTCATCTGATTGTCACTGCCTTTAGTAAACCAGGTACTAGTATATGTGAGGTTGATAGAATGAACAACTACATGTCCCTCTTGATGACATGGACCTTGCTCGTGGTATCAGCCATTATCTCTTGTACACTCGATCAATTCAAGACAGGTACCAGTAATTGCTGTACAGAGGATTAACACGTTCTACAACACCCAATAAGACATTTATACGCGTGTGACTAATAATAACC